TTAGAGAGAGATGTATGTAATTCCCAGATTCCTTCACTGCATAGATTGTGCAATTCTCTGATGTTTTTTTAAAGTTAAAACAGATCAAGGTGTACATAGATTCTTATCAAATATTTTTGGTTAGAAACTTTACATTTTTGCTATCTAAATTTTTTGTTTCAGATGTTTGGCGTAAATTGTGTGTTAAAAATGTGGTTTTTGCACACATTTTAGGCTTAAAGTTCAAAATGTAGACAAAAAATTTTGATAGTAATAAGGTGCCGTGGATGGCGAGAAATTTGTTGCCAACCTAGAGCGTAAAACTCAAGCAAATATGTTTAAAAGAAGCATATTTGCTTGAAATAAAATATTTTTATCATCCAGGTCATTGCCAGTATGTTGCTGTTCAGGAAATCTTAAGATATTCGATTTTTTAGTACTTTCTAATTTTCATGTTCCTCTATTATAATGGTGCAAAGATTATCAACAAGTTCATCTGAAATAAATTCATCTGAATTTTACCCTTTTTCTTGGGTAAAATCATGTTAACATCTTCCTCAGTCAGCGGTAAATCAAAAATTGTTAACATTAAAAATAAATATATTAAAAAGTGGTCTACTCACAACTTTTATCTTCTTCAGTCATGTTTTTTTTTTTTTTTTTTTTTTGAGTTACTTCCCAAACTACTTAATCGATGTCAGTTTCTTTACCTCTGCCCAACAATGAATAAATCAGTAAATAGTACAATTACAAACAATATTCTAAAGCCAGTGAACCAGTTGTCGGAATGTATACCTTTCTTTTGCTCGTAACTTCTTCCGTTGTATCTTCATTTATATATAGTTTAATTTCATGCCCATATTCGAATGCATGGTAAATGCATCTTTCTCAAAAGACAGATGTATTGGGTTGTCCGGAAAATAATGCAGGTTTTTAACCTATAGCTTTAAAGAATCATAACTTAAGAACAATTTTATTAATCAAAATAAGCACCAGCCGAATGAATACATTTTTGTCAATGAAATATAAGTTTATTTATGCCAGTAGAATAAAATTCTGGAGTTCTAAACATGATAAAGTTATTAAAGGCATTTTTGGCCTAGTCTTGGTTTCTGAAGCATTTCTTCACAAGAACATTACCCAGATGTCTGAAAAAGTGGTAATTGGTCGGCAAGATGTCAGGCGAATATGGGGGATGAGGGAGAGTCTCGTATCCCAAATCGTTCAATTTCTGTAGGGTTGGTTGCGTGACGTGTGGCCGAGCATTGTCGTGGAGAACTGCCCTCTTTCTGTTGACCAATGCACATGCGTTGCAATGTTTGGTGCATTTCGTCAATTTGTTGACAGTACTTTTCTGCCCTAATCATTTCGCACAGATTTACGAAGCTGTGGTGGATGAGACTGGCTGCAGACCACCAAACAGTCACCATAATTTTCTTTTGGTGCAAATTTGGCTTTGTAAAGTGTTGTGGTGTCTGACCACGGTCCAACCACTGAGCTGAACGTCCCTGGTTGTTATAGAAAATCCATTTTCCATCACACATAACAATTCAATCAAGAAAAGAGTCATTTATGTTGCAAAGAAGAAGAGCAGATACTTCAAAACAGTGATTTTTTTTATTTTCGCTCAATTCGTGTGCCACCCACTTATTGAGTTTCTTTTACTTTCCCATACGATTCAAGTGATCAGAAATCGTTGTTTTGCTTACGCCAAGCTCTCGAACAGCTGTGCACAGGTTTGCTTCAACTGAAGTCTTCAAATTGTCATCATCAACAGTTGAAAAGCATCCACCACCCTTTTGATCTTCCAGATCAAATTCTCCATGGCCAAACTTTTGGTGCCAACATTGAACTGTAGATTGATTCATTAACACTTTTCTTGACCCATACTTCATTGACATTTCGAGCCTTTTATGCTGCACTGCGGCCTAGCTTGTACTCATGAAAGTAAATTAGCCAAAAATCCTATTTTGGCATCTTAAAAAAAACACCTAGTAAATATTTTTTTTTAATAATTTTAGAACAAAATGATTGTTATAAAAATGTAGAGAGAAAATAGAGCTTCAAAATGATGCATAAACCAATGTAATTAAAAATATTTTTATTGCTAAAAATGTACAGGAAAGATAAACAACTGCAAATACCAGCATTATTTTCCAGATAACCTGATAACATCTTCCTCAATTGTCAGTTAAAAAAAAAAAAAAACTATAAGCATATTTTTTAAAAAAGAAAAAACTCAATAACATGTAATCTTCTCACAGCTTTTCCCATGGCGATTAAACTAATTAAATGATTACTGTTAGTGTAAATGTCACTACAACTTTCAAACAAATTGTAAGTGTAACGAGACTTACTGAAATGACATTACAAAATAAACAATATCATACAGAGCAGTAATTATCTTACAGAACTGCAATACATGTGCTCTATCTTTTTATGCAATTAAAATTTTATCATCACAGTGACTAAACAAATAGGACGTGCTTTATTTTGCCAAATTTAAGTGGTTTACATTACAAGAATGCCCCATGACCAATGCATTATGCAGCAGCACCACAGGTCCTGGATTCAATCCCCGGGCTAGGCAAGGATGACTCAGCCTTTCATCCCTTGAGTGGGTCAATAAAACAAGTACCAAGTTCTCACGGGGACTAAACACCAGGTGCAACAATCTGGCCACTTGCGTATATCTTCACGCACCCTGGGGAAGGGCACAGTCAAGAAAAGGCATCACGGCACTGCAGGCCATGGCTCGATAAGGACTGTTGTGCTACTGAGTTTAGTTAATTACATTATAAGTATATTTTGTCTGATATATTTTGTGTGTTTTTATTAGAAATGTCATTACTGATAATAAATTGACATTAAAATACCGGTTTAATTTTTTAGCTCTTGATAATGCTATGACCTAACAATTTGGGTATTACACAATAACAAAAAGATTGCAATACAAATTTTTAAAAGAAAAGGCATCATTCATGATAGAAAATTATGTTCGAATAACCACAAGATGAAATTATGCTTCAGCATAAAGTCGGTAGAGAAATGGCAGTGCAGGAAAGAAACGGTACTATTCGGTTTCGAGGGCCGTAAAAAATTGCCAAACTATTGTTGATGCCAATGCTGCCAAAAATAATTGTGGCAAGAAAGGAAGTATAATAGTAAATAACTATTTAAGATTGATGTTTTAATTTAGATGAAAGGTTAACTTCATATAATACTTTTTTTATTATTATAATTTATATGAAAAAGGCTAAACATGACTGAATGGAAGCATAACAGTAAATAACTATTTCAAATCATTATTATAATTTCTTGCTGAACATAACTGAATGGATGCCTGCATCGCTATTTCGCTATCGACTTATCGCTAAAGCATAATGTCATCTCGTTGGTTGTTTGAACGTAATTTTCTATAATGAATGATGCCTTTTCTTTGAAAATATTCTCGGTAAAGTGCAGAAGCACTCACTTATTTGTTTACCGCTTTTTACGAGGGTAAAAACAATTGGATTTTTGTCAATTTTCTTTTACTTTTTAAGTGAAAATAGGTCGATGTGTACATAGATAAAATCAAGGGTGTGCGCAATGCCATTTTTGTGAAATTCTAGGATTTTTTTTAAAAGTGAAAATAGATCTATGTGCACATGGATACCGAGTATGTGCAATTCTTAAAAATGCGCCAAGCAGTGGGTGATTCTGCACTTTACCCAAGATTCTATTGCCGACTTTTCGTCATGGACAATTATCAAATTGTTAAATCCATAGGATATCAAAAAAGGATTTAAATTCAAAAAAAGGATTTAAAAATTAAACTAGTATTTCAATGGCGTCTTAAGAAATATAGAACTATATAAACTTACGCAATCTGAAATCAACGCGTATGCTGGATTTGGCATGCTGTTAAATAAGCGTGTTTGCTAGATTTGGCACATACATTTTTGCTGCAATTTTTTTACGACCCTCGAAACCGAATAGTACCGTAGAAACTGTAATGACAAGAAAGTATTAAGAAGTCAAACTTGGTTCAAAAGATCCGAAAATCTTCTTCCTTACAGTCATTGGGTTCATCTATTTTTTGGTGTCAGGAGATGACATCTATTGAATTTTGTGAATTCCAGTTGAATATGAACCACAATACAACTGTAGACTGGAACAGTTACATGCGCGAGGTGTGTGCTGCAGCACACACCTTGTGCATGGCCTAAGTTAAAAATCAATGGATGTGGCAAAATTATTAAATAGATGGAAGACTTTCCGAAAGAGCTTTAAACATTTTACTGTCAACCACAACTACTATTCTGTAGACCCTGAAAGTGGGTGTCATACACAAACTATACAGTGGCTGTGGGGCAGTGCTAAATGGTGTAATAAACAATATCGGGGCACTGCTCAAAGCATTTTGTTTCTTATTTGTCTGTACATTCACTTGCACAAAAAAAAAAAAAAAAAAAAAAAAAAAAAACTGAAATCTCCTCTTCAGTAATGGAAGACAAAAAAATTTACTTCTTCCGCTTGACTTATGCTTAGCCATTTTTTTAAATTAAAATAATAAAAAGAAATGTATTATGTGAAATTAACTTTCATCAAACTAAACTAATAATCTTAGACAACTAATTACTATCATGCTTTCTTTCATTTATCCTTTTTCTTATAAATTATAATAATACATAATGCATTATATGAAATCAACCTTTCATCTGAATTAAAATAGTAATCTTAGATAATTATTTACTATTATGCTTCCTTTCCTTCCTTCAGCTTAGGGTTACCATAATTATTTTTGGCATCAACAATAGTTTGGTGATTTTTTTACGGTCCCTATAATGGAATTGTATTCAAAAAGGTAATGATATAAAAAATTCATCCTAAAAACAAGCACATGAATACACTAGTAATCAAGATGAAATAGTACTTTATATAAAACTATCAAAAACATTACAAAAAAACTTATTAACATTAAATATTAAGGAATAAAAAATGCATTTCATCAGTACTAGTAATTTCTTTGAACTTACATGTGGGAGAGATAATGGAACTTCAAAATACTTTTGAAGTCTTTTCAAATCTCGTGCCATATAAGCACCTTTATTTGGAACCACAGCAGGTGGCGAATTACCTAGAAAGGAAATCAGAATTATTATAGAAATATGTTCTGCTTCTGCATAGTAGAAGTGAAAATAAATTAATCAAACTTCAACATACTTTTGTTTTAACCAAAAGAAAGTATAAATATCTATGTTAACTAATTATCCACAAAACAGATAATAGCATAATGTTGACTGCTTTCATTTCTCGAAGAGTGGTCACATCATTTCATACAACTAATTTAAATCCTAAATAGCTAAATACATGTAACAGAAATATAAGAAAATACAGTTACCCGAACTTTTCATTATTCCACCTAAAAGTACAGGTTTCAGTTTCAAATTTATATTCCATATTGGTTTGTAACGATGTAGAACCTGTAAATTAAAAAAGTAAAAGAGAGAAATTTAATTCCGCATTTAAGATAATAAAACCTCAAAAAAGAATGAGGGAAAACTTACTTATATTTCGATAATAAAAATATATATTTTTATAAAACTACCTCACCTCAAAAGCAAGAAAAGAATAAGGTGATATTATATCATAAAAAAATTCTATAAGGACTGGACACTTTGCCATTTTATAAAATACGAACGCTTTCAGAAAATAATCTAGCACTTTCTAAATTAACTCCCGTAAAAAAGAAGGAAGGAGGAAGTTCAAATTGGTCTACTTCCCGTACTGACTTTGTACTCTAACCTCCTTGAAAAAAACAAACAAATATTAAAACAATAATAATCAAAAGAAGCTGCCAGATAGCTACTCGAAACTTGTAAACAATTTCCCTAATTTTTCGCATATATATGTCAAATTATGGTATTAAGTTCCACTCTCTTATTCAACCCAAAATTTTTTATTTTCTTCAAGAAAAAATTTTTATAAATGTCTAAAACAGGCATGAAAATTTAATTTTAAAAGATAATTAAAAAGGGGGGGGGAATTATTTTTATTCAGAGTATTAGGTCGAGTTTTGGCAACAATATTCTTGTAGGAGGTTTCGGTTAAATGATTTGTTTGTGTTTATTGTTCAGGGTTGTAATTTTTGTTGTGATTGCCATTTAAACGTAAGTATATGAGGTGTGAAATTATGTATATAAAACTGATGTACCAAAAATTTCCGGAAACAGGCGAATAATACTTTAAACTATTTTATCACATGTAGTTTCGTTTAAGCTTTGGAAACTGTCAAATCAACAATACTGCATGAGTATATTTGTGTAACAAATGCTATAGTATAAAAAGTATTATTTGAAAATTCGGTACTTACGTATTATCGCAACCAGGTTGGCGCGATTTGTAAGTTTGAGTAAAAAAGTATGAATAGAAAGAAAATGTACATTTATTAATTACAGATAATTTTTAATACAGTTTTTTATATAATTTTTTGTTTTAAAATATAAAATAGCAATTAAACCCTTCCGGTTTCGAATTTGAATAAGTTGCAGAATTATTTTTTCGGCGGAAATCTTTTGGCTATTGCTTTTAGCACTGATTAAAAACCGTCTTCGCCATTAACAGCTTGAGCTTGGCACCATATAAATTCGATAAGGTATGAGTCAAGGTGATGAAGGGCTGTTCCTCTCTGTTTTTTGTTGCGCCATTTGGCTGAGCCCCACATGCGCTCTACGTGTTGTGTGTGAATGCCCGTGTTGGGATCCACAAAGTTTTATTTGTGATTAACAGTTGCATGCAGAAATCCAGCATTTTCGAACTCACTTGTATTGTATCCTTTCCAGCAATCCGAATAAATGATGCTTCCTTCCTTGATATTTTTGCAAATTTTTTCCATGAGGGTAACAGCGCTTCTGTTAGGTACAGTAACCAAAAAAGTCTCTTTCTTTTCTCCGCAAATTCCGCAGAAAACCCATTGCTGTGGTAGTACACGCCCAGTGTTATTTTTTCTTTTTACAAATAATCTTTCGTCTAAACGTGTAGGGTTGCCGTAAGTAGGGTCGCCAAATTTGGCGATTTATGCGAATTTTGGCCTGGTTGCGTTAATACGTAAGTACCGAAAATTCTTTAAATTAAAATATCTAACATACTATCGGTCATTGTGCAATTGGCTGCGAAAGGATAATATGCAATTTTGTATTAGTTAAATTATTTTTGATAAATGGGTGCAAATGTTTTGGGTAAAATGCTAGGAGAGCCCACATTCTTGGCGACAAACTGGGAAAGTGCGGAATCACCCACTGCTTCACGTGTTTCTCAAAATCGCCAACTTGGAAATAACAAGTCAAAAAATTGCACAAACTCGTTATCAATGTACAGATCGACCTATTTTCACTTAAAAAAACATCCCAGAATTGCACAAACTTGACATTGCACACTCCGTTGATTTTATCCATGTACACATCGATAAGCGCCATATAAGTGGGCACGTCAAGGGTGTGGGCTGTGTTAGGATCCAACCATTTTTTTGTTATAAACATGGTTGGATCATAGTATTTTTGTTTGGATCCTAGCAGAGCCCACACCCTTGGCTGGATGTGTACATGAACAAAGTCAAGGAACAACAATGCCAAGTTTGTGCAATTCTCTGATTTTTTTTTTTTTTTTTTTTTTTTTTTTTTTTTTTTTTTTTTTTTTTTAAGTGAAAATGGGTTGATGTGTACATGGATACAAATTTGTGCAATTCTTTGGCTTGTTATTTTTAAGTTGACGATTTTGAAAAACATGCGATTCTGCACGTTCCCAGTTTGTGGCCAAAAGTGTGGGCTCTCCTAGGATTTTACTGTATTTTTTGGTTAAAGTTGGCATCTCTCTCTCATACATATATGCTGGTATATCTCAACTTGCTGAGATACATTAAGTGAATTTATTGTGAAATCATGTTATGTAATAAAACTGAAACTACAGTTGGTTAAAAATAGCATGTACGTTATCATAAACGATAATAGCTGCATTTTTATTGAAAAGAATCTGTGGTTGATCTTTACATTACGGTAACTGGTAGTTTGGTGACATTTTGGTAAGGCGATAAAAGTTACTAGCTAGGACTTAGCAGTGTACATGGATAAAGTCAAGGCGTGCGCAATGCCATTTTTGTGCAATTCTGGGATGTTTTTTTAAGTGAAAATAGGTCGACGTGTGCATGGATGATACCGTGTATGTGCAATTCTTGAAAATGCAGCAAGCAGTTTGCGATTCTGCACTTTCTCTCAATTTCGCACATAATCTTCGTCATGATTAAGCATTTCTGTTCCATAAAAGTTCTTGTATAAGCGTAATTCGGCTAGCAGATTGTTGGAAAAAATGTTGAGTAAAAAAAAAAAAAAAAAACCATGCCTTTACTTCGTGAAAACAAAATTGCGTCCAAAACAAAACTAGCAGGTTGTTGTAGCAGGGTTGGTTGCCAAATTTTCACCAAAAAACCACCAAGTTACCATAATTCAAAGATTAACCCAGTTTTCTAATTTACCTTATTTCTTATTTATAAAAAGTAAAATGTCTTTTAGATTGCATAATATAAAAGAAAGAGGTAGGAAGGCTTCTTATTCATCTTATTCTTCAGCTTACGTCAACTACAGAGTTATTTACTACCAATCAGTTTGATATCAATTACCAATTTAAATGAATTGTATTTTATATATAAAAACAAAAAATGAAGAACTTATGTATTATCCCATTGATTGTGAAAATATCACCAAGCAGTGCAATTTAGTGCCAGTTAATGGATAAGCATGGCCTAATAATGCATAACATCTGTGCTTTTGTTTGACATAACCTCAATTGATTCTCAGTAAGCCAGCCTTTGTCATTATGAACAAGGATATAAATTAATGCTTTATCTTCTTCATGTATTTTGGAGAAACAAATTAAAATTTGTGAAGGAAATATGTCATCTACAGAACAAGCTGTAAATTACTTTCAAAGTTGTAGGATCCTACTATTAAAAAAAAAAAAAGTGCATTAATTGCTACAAGAAAGTGTCAACTTTTGCAGGATATTTGCCTACTTTCATGGTTGATGGGATGATATGCAAGTGCTGAAATAGATTATAATTAGTTTTGTGGCATCCCAAAGTCTTAGATAAAAAAAAAAAAAAATTAAAAGTTATATATTTACAATATTATCAATTGACACAATGAAAAATGTGAAATATTTTGAATATTGCAGTTTTAAATCTTTTCCCCTCTATAATCTGTTGCTAAATCTAAAACTCTTTAGGTTGCCTCACTTCTTTAGTAACTAATACTTTTTGTGTGCTTGTATGTACAGCCGTAGCTAGAAAATATTTCAGTGTAGGCTGTGATATTTAGAGATTATATAATTTGTATTCATTTTTAATAAGAGAAGTGGCTGAGTACTGCAGTTTTTCTGAGTTTGAGTACTGCAGTATGTGCAATACATTAGATATTATTTAATACTTATCTGGCTTCGTGTTTCCTAAACTTCCTAACTTGTGACTCATAATCTTGTAGCAGTGACCTATTGCATCTTATGTCTATCAAGTAAGAAAATAGAAAGAGGTCTAGAAAATAATGTGCTGATATTAAATAAATATGCATAATTATTAACAACTAATAATTTTAAGTAAGTATAAAATTTTATAAAGAAAAGAATTCACAACTTTTCCCGATCTATCAAAAATTGTCTCACTGTCCACAATTTGGAAATCATTAACATAAATTCATGACAAAAAATGAAAATTACTGACTAATGTTAATAACTAAAAATGCATATATAAAAAAATTGTGCGAATTAAATTTTGCAACATGAAATTAAAATTGCATTTTAAAAAAAGATTTTATGCATTTAAAACAGATAATAATCTCTTCTTTATCAAAAAATATTTTATTTTTTCATATTCAAAATTTTTTTTTTCAGGAACTTTAAATATGCCGGACTATCAGATATTTCAAAAATTTAATCAAGAGGTATGTTGTATTATTATGCATATATTTACCGTATTTCAGATAAATAAAGTAATTAAAATGATTAGAAATAGATGTATAAGTTTTTAGAATGTTACTTTGTACAGTATAAAGTCCGAGATCTAGATATCCAATAGCTGGAATGATCTAAAATCTGGATCTGAATGCCACCACCAACTTTTTAAAAAATTTTTTGTCTTTATGCATGTGCATTTGATTACATCCCCTTCCACGTATAATAAAACACGTGGAAAGTCCCGATTCATGATTTCACTTCGGCACTAAATAAAATGCCTCGTTATTGAAGAAACAATCATTTTAGCATAAATTTGTATGATCGAGAATTTCGCTCCAATCCATATCTACTTGGTGTACATCTCAAACCGAAACATTCTACATAGATACATCGTTAATTTTACACCTACTTATATTTTATATCCCTGATGCTAACTTGGCAAATTAATTATTTATTACATTTTGCTTTCATCATCACATTTATCAACACGACAACTTGAGTAATGACTCAACTTGAGCGATGCCTAAACAATATTTTATGTTAGTAATTGAATAACAAAGAGTATGGCAACCTTTTACATTGACATTATACTTGACGATTAGTACAAATTTAAGTTAAATGGTGTAAGAAGTATTGATGAGGAAAAATTTAACAAAAATTTCTTTCCATATGCTAAAAGTAGATTTACTTAATGACACTCATAGGCCAAAATATTACATTTAGTGCTATTTGAATTAAGAATAACTGATTTGTTATCCACATAAAACCAGAACCAGTGCCAGAGCTTGTATGGCTGCACTAGGCAGCAGAATTTAGGGAAGACAAAGACAGGTGCTTGGTAGCAGAATTTAGGACCCACAGAGACTGCACCAGGCAACAAGATATCTAGCACTGGCCCTCAATAAGCCTTAAGTACATTTGGATATTTATTTATTCACGACTCAGATAAGCCTTAAGCATGTGCAAGAAATAGACATAAGTATAATAAATAGCTGAACTAGTACATTTCAGGTTTAATTCAGCACAATAGAAGCAAGATAAAATTTAGCGGAGCAACTTGTCTTTAGTCTCCAATCTCATGATACATAGCCAAATATGTATAGTGAAGGATAGCTAAATTTTATGATCATAGCCACAAATTTTAAAGGTTTTTGGATACCGCAAACCAAAGGTAAAATTTTCAATTTAAAGGATTTTGTAAAGAAATGTGGAGAAGTGGTAATAAATGAAGATGATATAAAAAAAAGTTTTTCATTGTGATGATAATGCTCCTCAATCATCAATCAATTAATGGGTCGCAAAAGCTGTAGTATAGTTCTAAATCCAAAAAATACTACTACTGATAGTGAAGATAGTGACAGAGTTTACTGAAAACGAAAAAATTTCGATCGACAAGTTAGTCGGAATTCTCGATACAGCAATTACAGGACTTCAGCAATGTTACTCAGCAAAAAATTATATCTGTCTACAGAATTAAAGAGGAAGTATTGGCAGGAAGAAACTTAGCAACTGAAAACAACTTGCATTGAAAGGTTTAATAAAGTAAACAAATAAATATTAAGCTTTTTTTTTGTAAATTTTGATACCCGTTTTTCATAATTTTGAAGCATTTATTATTTTGATCATAAATACTTCATTATTTCAGAAATCATGATTTCATATTTTTAATTTTATAATTTCTACATGCCATCTTACCAGATTTAAACTGATGATCTAATATCTGGAAAAATCCCAAATCTGAAATCGCAGAAGTTCTGACGAGTCTATATCTCAGACTTTGTACTATATATAGTTTGTCTTTTTTCATGGGAATACTGATAAAGAATAATTTCAATTTGCTTTTTAAGTGCAGATCAATCGATTTTAGATTGAAATTGTCTTGGATTTGCATGGTGCTCTACCATTGATAGATTCTTCAGGTTTATTAACTATTCCCTCGAGAATCAAATTTCATGGCCTTAGTGGTCTATTTCTAAAATATTTGCCAACTGTGAATAATCTTAAAATTATTTTACATTATGGTGGTATATTAAAAAAATAACATTAAATACTGGAAATTCTGCATTAAAGATTTATGTAGATTTAACTGATGTTTTGAAAATAATCTTTTTAGGCATTTACAGAACTGTTAGATATCAGTTTCAAGAGTCTTACACAGAAGCAACAGGTATGTAAACATTTCTGAGTTTCTTACTATTTCCTACATTTTAACCTTATCAATCCAGTATCTTTTGGTGGAAAACTAATTGTATATCCATATCAACATAAGATGTTCACATCTGTTCTGATGAGTGGCTGTCTCTTAGTAAGCAGCTGAAGGCAACAACCAATCATCTGTTATGAGGCATGCTGATTATTATTTTATGAACCAATATAAAATCTGTATAAACCTTTGGACTGAGCGAGTACAGGATGAAATGAAGCTTAGAAACTCAATATTAAGTCAACTGTTAGTAAAATTTAAATAAAAAGTCACTAATCTTTAAAATATGTGGAACTGTTATAAGTGTAAAATATAAATGTTTCAAGAAATTTTATAATTTAATGCTAATTACTTGAAAGAAATTATGAAGTTAATTTTATTCTTGAATTTGTTTTATAGTTAAGTTAAATGTTAGATTAGGTTTAATTATAATGCACCCTACTTGCAGATTTATTTTAGTCTTGCAAGTTTTTAAAAAGTTATATTTGGGTGTAGATAATTGCTTTAGTTTATTCAGTTGGTATTTGCTAATAGGTCCTTAATTTTTTCATTGATGGGTCTTAAAAGTACTTAATTTCCATGTTTCAAATTCATGTTAGCATTTTCCAAAATTTTGTGACTCATTAAAAATTGTAATATATGTGGATTTGAGCATTACTAAGGCATTTGAATAATCTTCTAGCACTTGATCAGAATTTTAAAAAAAAAGTTGAAACATTTAAAAATTTAAAAAATAAGAAATTAAAAATGAATTAATAATTTAAAATATTCAAAAGGCCCTTATATAAACTAATTCAGTCCTAAAAAGTAGCCAGAGTGTTATCTTTTAGATAGCGGGCTTACTGCAGGATTGTTTCTGAAAAGAATGAATGATGGCATTGCTGAAATAGCTGGATGGTTAAGGATGGCATTATCTTGCCAGTTTTGTGTTTGGTACATTTGTTTTGAGTTTTTCCAAGTTTCATTGTGCAAACAACATGCCTTATTTTTCTTAACCTTTTCGCGACGGCGCACCTTTGTTTAAGACACTCGTGCGGGAAGGAAGAGAATCGAAGGCAGTCACCATACAGGACAGAGATTTTACATCGCTAAGCCTAATTTATAACAAAAATCAGAAAAACAAAAGTTTCGATTCTAGCATCGTAACTTTTGGTATCATTTTAGATTATTACTTGAGCTCTTATATATGTTAAAATTAGCCCTTAAAACATTCTTTTATTTATTTTACATGAAAATATACTTAAAAAATTGCTTATCTTCTAAAATAATATTCGGAAGTGCTATTCAAATTGTTCCAAAGTTTTAATTGATAAAATCCATCAATAAAGTTTAAAATTGTTAAAAAGAACACAATAAAGACTATTTACAGTAAGAAGTAACAAAATTTAAAAGGAAAACGAGTGTGGTAAATCTTGAAGCACAGAGAAGTATCACTTTGTAACTCTTAGAAAAAGTACCACTTTTTAACTCTTTAGAAAATGAATCTGTACTCTCATTTGCGTTAGTAAATGGTTCACTAACCATACTAGGGTATTCTTCCTCTGATAAATAGCGCCTTTCCGCCATAATAGATTGGAGGCGAGGCTTTCCTAAATAAAAAAGAAGGAATGGAAATATATCTGAAGGCAATGCAAAACGTAAAAAAACTCCGCACAGTAACCCTAAAAGACCGTACATAGTAGAGGGAAAAAAATAGAATAAAAAAAGGAATTGGATATAAATCAGATACGAGAATGTTTTCATTAGCACACAGCGATTTAAAGAGCCCACCCCTGTTTACGCTTTCCCACCCTCAAACAGCTGATGAGTAAAATACCAAAGTGAAGCAGAATATATCAAACTCAAGGTCAGGAACCTAAAACTGTGTTCATTTCAAAAGTAATGGTCACAGGATGCCATCTAGTGGCCTTCAGAAAAACGTTCCACCTTAAAATGCATATGCTCATCACCCGTCCTCTGAATGCGATCTTTACTGATGAACGGGTGGAACGCCCGGCTGTAAGAGACGTTCTTAGGGAATGCGTATATGGGACGCTCGTCCTGAAAGGGTTAATGGTACTTTCCTATGTGTTTTCTACACTGCTGTTCCTATTAATGAGAAATAGTAACTAACTTTAAAATTGTTTTAGCTGATTCTTCTACTTTTTTTTAATATTCTATTTAATAAAGCAAGCCTATTTAAGACTTTTAATTTTTTCTCCCACAAGTTAAATTTTTTATTACTGTTCTATAATTTATTTTTAAAAATATTTTTCTTGTATTTCATTTAATCTTGTGTTATTCCAAGTAATTTTTATTGTTTCCTAGCTTTTTATGTCTAATTTCTGTACTGCATTTAGCTATCTGTAAGTGAAATGCTATTCATTTTTAATATTCCTGCCTCCCCTTTGTATATGTATATATATATATGTTTAACTGCAATAGTTCATAAAATTATTTACTTTACCAGCATTATGCAAAAGTAATGTGATATGGGTTAATCTAGAAATGATGCAGTCCAGCGAAAGTTATTATAAATAGTTACCAATTAAAATAATCATTTTGATTTACCGTAATTTCCGGAAGAAAGGCCGCATCAGCGTAAAGGGCGCACTCGAGAAAAATGGCGGGAAAAAAATTAAAATTACACAGAAACGCCGCATCAGCGTAAATGCCGCAATAGATTAAATTGCGCGTGACATCGTCGTGGGCCGTATAGATGCAAAACTCAACCTAAGTCCTGATATATGACATACCAGTTAAGAAAAAATGCATGAAATGAAACCATAACTCAAAAATAAATTAAAGGTAAGAAGTGTATAGCTTCTGTGCCGTTTAGAGACATTTTCAAAAATTTTCCGCTCCCTTCTTAAAAACTATCCAACAAGTACTTGTACCCAAACTGATGGGATCTGTATTTGGCAGAATGCCAAGAAAAATACACTCATGCTGAAGAAAAATACGTCAGAGTTCAGAGTTCGTTATTGCCAGGCAGGTGGAGTCATGTCCGCCTTTGAAAAAAATTGCAGAAAAGGCAGGGGTGGGGAGAGGATGGGTCCTGGAAGATTCATCGAATGGCAGAGGAGAGAGACTATTCAAACTGATGAGAATGTTGATTTGAAAGGGGGAAGAATGTTATTGTTCTGAGATCTCGTTTAGGGTGAATAAGGCATGTAGGTCCGTTCAAGGGAAAAGAATGTAAACAAAATAACGTTCGCAAAAAGCAACTGAGTGGTCTTTTGTGTGGGAACAGCACCAGTCTATGCACAATGACAAGGCCATCCAAACTATGTACAATGACCATCATAGGAAATATTTTATTTTTAGTGCACCTAAACGCCGCATGGGTAGAAACGCCGCACCCGCTGAAAATTTAAGTTTTAAACACGTAAACGCCACGGCGTTTCTTCCGGAAATTACAGTACATATTTCGTTATCTTACATATGTATGCATTATATTCAATCCATAGATACTTTTATCTTAAACTAAGTTAAAGGAATTAAGGAAATGTTATTTAGATGTTTAAAAACTTTCAGAATTTTATCAGACATTCTTCTTACTGTGTTTTGCAAAGGTATACTACTAGTGTTCAAAATTTAAGCAAAATTTTCTAATTTTGGCCATAATTCTAGAAAAATCAACTGGAAGATATGAAATTCATGCTAAAGAGACGCAACATAGTACTTAGACGATGAGGAAAGTATAGAAGGAAAAAAATAATTGGATACATACAGTATGGAATGAATAGAAAAAGGCTTTATTGTCAGAATAGCATTGGTATAAAAAACTGTTTGGCCGAGAGGGAGGACAAAAAAACCAAAGAGTGTTCATAAGGGATTATGACCTCCCCTAACTACAATGGTTCTGTTATACTATTGGTTATCTGTTACACATATAAACACATTCTGATATTTTCTGCTAGCAATAATGTACAACAATCTCTCTTTCACATACAGAAGAATGCTCGGAAATGTGGCTTCCTTTCCACCCTGCATGCTGACTTTGCCTTACCCTGCATGCTGACTCCTCACATTTTACATGCCCTGACATACCTTCTGATGTCATGGTGTTGATATTCGTAACATATATCACCTTTCTACTGAGTTGGCTTTTCATTAAATAGCAATTGTCCTTTTCAACATTCTCATGGTTGTATGTTGAAAAATGCATTAGTTGCTTAAGTTTTGCACGCTAGTGTATATATGTATAATTTCATGGTATTATATTATTTTCATCAATGTTCATACTATTTTATAACCTAATGGCTTGTTTATTTGATACAAAAATATTGTGTGCTTAGTGTTTCCATTTTGTAATTTCCATAATGTTGTATCACTTTCATGCTAATTCATTATGTTTTGTAGCCTAACGAATCATTCAATCGATACAAAACAGTGTGTGCCAAATCAAGCATTGAATTTTCAGACCTTGAACCTGCAATTCAAGCATTTTTGCAAACATGTAGAGGTAAAGATTCTCTCTCTCTCCTTTGCTTAAAAACTACAGAAAATTAAAAAAAAGGTATTTTTATATTACAGAAAAAGTCTATTATTCAGTACACTTCTTAGCCAGCTTGTGAGTTCCAACATAGCAAGAATTTACCATTGTTCAAAAAGAGATATGTACCTTCACATGTTTTACATTTAGAAAATAAGTGTTTAAAAACTCTGAAAATCTTTCACATACATATTCATGAATTAATTCGTGTGTTCTCTGTGCAAATCGAATTAGTTTCTGTTATACTTTGTTATTGATCTATTCTTTATGAATCCATATAATTATTTATATTTGTTCTCAAAATTTGATTTTAATCCCCCATCAAGTTTGTTAATTTCTTCTAGAGTGAAGAATAAATACAACTAAATATTTAAGCAGTTGTTTCTTTGAAAAAGTAGTTTAATTTATTTGACATCAAAAATATTCTTCAAAGTCCTTGGAACTCATTAGTATTTTGTGTTGCTTATTGCTAATTGTTCTTTGGTTACCATAATTAATACCAAGTTTGGCATGCTGTTACCATAATTATTACCATAATTAATACCAAGTTTGGCATGTAATAATACCAAGTTTGGCATGCTGTTACAGTTAATTTTCATAATTGCAGTTATTCGAGATGTTGCAAATATGCATTCTGTTTATCCCTGTGCTTGATTTTGGGAGTTGCAATCTGTGTTTGACCATTCATTTGTTTATTATGAAATATTGTTTAAATAATATTGAATAAAATGAATACAATACAACATATATTGAATTTTCTCTTCTGCATTAGAATGTTTTCTAGGTTGATCTTTGGATTATGGTAACTTGGCGATTTTTTGGCGAAAATTGGGCGGCCAACTCTGCTACAGCAACCCTCTATTTTTTTTTACCGCCATTTTGTCTTCACAAAGTAAAGACGTGTTTCTTTTCTTTTTATTTACTGAACACTTTTTCCAACAATCTACTAGCTGAATTACACTTATGCTAGAAATTTTATGTAACAAAACTGCTTAATCATGACAAATATTAACAGCAAATTTGGGAAAAAGTGCAGAATCGCAAACTCCTTGCACGTTTTTCAGAATAGCACATACACATAAACCATTTACGTTGACTTATTTTTACTTAAAAAAAAAATCCCAAAATTGCACAAAAATGGCATTGCACACACTCTTAACGTTATCCATCTACACTGCTATTTTCTCATAAATTACAAAAATTTGCACGAAAATGCAAAAAAATTCTGTGAATCTTTAAACTCGGTAAAAAGCACATATATGAAATTACCTGATCGCGAAAAAATATATACCCTTTCCAAGGATGAACATTTCCACGTATAAAATAAATAAAATATCCAAAAACTTTTACCTCTAAATTGTCTATTATATTATAAACGTCACCAACGAATTCATACCGCAAACATTACAAATGGTTACAAATACTTAGTGTCAAATATTTAAATTATTTCCATACACGTTTACTTCAACTGAAACGTATACCAAATTCCTACAAACATAAAATTCACAAAATAACTATCATTTAATTAAAATATCACTAAACCATGTACACGTCAACTTATTTTTACTTAAAAAAACATCCCAGAATTGCACAAAAATGGCATTGCGCACACTCTTCACTATATCTATGTACACTGCTTTTTTCTCATAAATTAGAAAAATTTTACGAAAATGCATGGAAATACTCAACGTATTCCAAAATACTACAAACATATAACTCACAAAATCATGATCATTAAATTAAAATATAATTAAATTAAAAAACACTACTTAAAATATAAATAAGCACATACATTAAATTAATAAAAATTAGATTACAATCCTTATTACTTTAAACTAAATCATTGCTAATAACAATTTTCCAATAATATCACATTAATTTATTTACTCCTTATATTTAGAACAATGCATAAAAATAATATCCTCAAATGATTAAAAATACTAACTTACCTAATCTTCAGAATCTTCATTACGTGGCATGCACACTTCCACTATTTCACACAACACACAATAAAGCTTAATACAAAATAATATAGTTCTACAGTTTTCCAAATCCCCCCCTTTTCCGATTAAAGAACTGTAATTCGTCCATTAATGTCACATGACATATCTCATGATCTCTCATTTCCCTCACACAAAATAATATAATCGGAACTAAGTACTTCTCACATTATTACCAAAGTCCTAGGTAGTAACCTAGCTAGTAACCTTTATCGCCTCCAAAATGTCGCCAAACTACCAGTTACCATATTCCAAAGATCAGCCGTTTTCTAGTTTGTTGAAAATTTACATAATCAATCTTACAGGCATTTTAATAAGGCTAACAATTTTTGAAGAATGCATGCTTTTTTATAAACATTGATTAGAATCATTTCTTTAACTTTTCAAGCTGGATCTAAAATGTTTTTGATTAAAAAAGGATTATGTTCTGTTCTTTCTCAAAATGCATAGAACTTTTCTGCAAAATTTAATACAGTACAAAGTCTGAAATTCGGACTGATCGGGACTTCTGCGATTCCGGATTTGGGATTTTTCTGGGTAATAGATCATCAATTTAAATCTGGTAAGATGGCATGCAGACATTATATAATTAAAAATTTGAAATTGTATAATTTATGAAATAAAAAGCAATTATGATCTAAAGGGTATCAAAATTTACAAAAAAACGAAAGCTTAATATTTATTTGTTTTTATTATCAAACATTTCTTTCAATGTAAGTTGTTTAAGATGCTTCCGCAAAAAATTCAAAAAGTTCCTTTTTCTTTTTTCTTGTGTCATATACAGTGCATGTCCTAATGCCATACTCCTCGCATAATTTTGAAACAGATATGCCTTTCCATTTTTTGCAGCAATTCCACTTTTTACTTTTTGTTTAATGGACATCAAAACATGGTTTCACTTTGCAGATACTTTGGCAACTCCAGAATTGGAAACTCTTTTTGACATAATCGAAGTTCAAGCTTAGTTTTTATAAAATTACCGTAATAACAACAATCTGCAAAAAATAATAAGCTGGACCAAATTAGAAGATCAGGGAGCAGCGCAGTCTGCTACGTTAATTGAAATGCTTTAGAATCAATAAAGATAATTTTAGCCTAGCTTAATAGCGCCTGTTATACATGTGTATTTCAAGATTGGCGATGAAAGCCAAGTTGTTTTGCTAAATTTTGTCTTGTTCCTATTGCGTACTGAATTAAGCCTGAATTGTATTAGTTTAGTTATTTACTATACCTGTGTTTATTTCTTGCAGATGCTTCAAAGTAATCCTAGTCCTGAATAAATAAACTCCCATGTATACTTAAGGCCACTTATCTAGGGCCGGCACTCGATACCACCTGATGCAGTCTCTACGCCTAAATTCTGCTACAAAGCGCTTTCCTAAGTTCTAAATTTTCCCCATGCTTAAACTTTTGATCCCAGTGCTTTCCGTAAATCATAAAAACTCCTCATCCCTTAATTTTGTCGCTTGGTGCTTCCCCAAATTCTAAAAATTTTATCTTCCCTAAATTCTGCAGTCCGGTGCCGACATATTCTGCCACCGCTTTTGGGTTTATGGTGAATAACATATCAGTTATTCTTAATTAAAATCGCATTAAATGTAATCTTTTGACCTATGCATTTAATTAACAAAATCTATTTTTAGTATATAAAAAGAAATTTTTGTTGAATTTTTCCTTGTCAACATTTCTTAGAGCATTTAAAAATCTATAATTATCGTTAAGCGTAATGTTAGCATAAAAGGTTGCCATTCTCTTGTTATTCAATTGCTAATATAAAAAAAGTTTAGACATCACAGCATGAGTTATTACTGAAGCTGTCATGTATTGATAAACATGCAGTGATGAAAGCAAAGTATAATAAATAATGACTCGCCAGGCTGGCATCAGAGATATAAAAATATGTGAATGTTTCGGTTTGAGATGTATGGCAAGTAGATACTCAGCTATGGAGTGAAATTAAGAATTGGAATTTTTAAGTGAAAAATCTCCATGTGTTTTATTATGGAAGGAAAAATCAAATGCACATGCGTAAAGCATTAATTAAAAAAAATGTTTGTGGCTTTGAGGTTTGTATCTTAGGTCATTCTGGATAATGGAAGTCCAGATTTCGGACTTTGTATTGTATAAATTTAAGGTTGAATATTATCCATTCTTAAAATTGATATCTTCTGTATGTTACGTGCTATTGAAAACAATATTAGGTAAATATTTGTATTTGTATACGAATGCACCACAGAAGATTATCTATTTGTTCCATATGCATTGTTGATATTATCACATTCTCTTACAAAGTTTTTAGGAATGAGATAATTTACTTCAATTTCAGATTAGGATGCTTCTCTTCCAAGCAGTGAAAGTGTTTGCTGTTCACTGTTTAATACAACTTATTAACCTTTTGGACAAACCAAGATTAATTAAATCTTTGGTCCCAAATAATGTGAGCTGTGTTCATTTGCGCTCACTGCAATAGATAACTGAAATGTGAGCTTGAACTCATTGATGACCATTAAAAAGTTAAATATCTTGAGCAACATAAAATAAAAAATCCCGCTTAAAGGCAACAACTTGAAATGAAACTCAGTAATGTAGGGACAGAAATTCATATACAGAGCTAGAATCTGAAAATATTTATCATAAGGAGCTTCTTTTGGGTCATTTGTAGCTGTCATTTTAATTCAAAAAAATTGACAATTTTCAAAAGATAAAAAAGCACCCTTCTACTAATTTTTAGTTTTGGTTAAAAATCAATCTTTTTACATAAATATTAGGTAGACTTTTAAAATAGTGCCAATAGTTGACATTAATTGAGAATAAAATATATAGCCATTGTATAGATCCAGTTGAAGCTAGTTACTTTTTCCAGTTGCAATATCCATTAAAAATTGTAAAATTCATGCAATATAATGTTAGCTTGTAAAGATGTTAATATATTTGACACTTGCTGATTAATGAAGACCTCAATAATTCCCATAGTTTTTTTTTTTTTTTTTTTTTTTTTTTTTTTTTTTTTTCAATTTGGAAGGGAGATAGTTCCTGATTAACTAATCTGATTGCATAGAGAATGTTCTGCATAAACTTGCTTATTAACATCATTTTCTTCAAAATGTATTGCTATTTTTTAATTTTATAGATGGTGTGAAAAAGTGTAAACCTATAGCCCAGCTCAGTGATGAGCTTATAAATATTGGTAAGTTCCATTATAATTATTTACTTCAAATATTTTCTTGTGATAAATTTTCTTTCTTTATATAGTTTTAATATTGTTGAAATAACTGTTATTTATTGTTTTATATTGCTGTGAGTTGGAATTATTGATGATATTATGAGTACATATGTAGTATTATAAATTAATCTCTGTAAAAAATTCTGTATTCTGTGTAAAAATATTAGCTTTGATAAGATATGAAATTGGTGAAGATAAAAATGTAATATTTAACATATGATTATTACTACCCCCCAAATTAGAACTAAGAATATTTTATTATTTTTTCAAGTAGTTTATCTCGATTTTAAATCATTTATATTGAAATACTGTTATTTATTCCTTTGCATATGCTCTTATATTTTGGGACTGAGACTGATGAAGTATTAGAGTATGGTGAGTAAAGGCTGTCCGCCCATTAAGCATTGATGCTTTCATAGAATATTTTTTGATAACTTTTCCATGAAAGCATCATTTCATGGAACTGACTTGAAATGGAAAATCTGACTTGTATTTACATTATATGTAAAAAAAAACATGAAAACATTATGTAGCCAAATCATTCAGCCATTTGAAATAGAACTGAAGATGAATTGCTGGTGTTTTATGGCTTTAATCACTCAGTTCCTAGTTAGTGTCTTAAATGTTTTAAAAGGACTTGTATATTTTTTAATCATCTGAATGTTAAAATGAGATTAGAACTTGTTTTGTGAAAGAATGTATACAGTTTCTTATTTGTTGTGCTTCCATAATTTTAATACATGAATTTTATTTTTTATTGTATTTAACACTGTCTGTTTCTTCACAACAATTTTATTATTAAAAGTTAAGTTTTAAATGTTTTATTTTGAAATATAAAAGTTTAAATGGCTTTCACAAAGGCATTTTTCCCCTTAACCTTTAAAAGACGCGTGGCCTAAGAATCGGTCAGACCTGAAGTGTCTCAAAAAGACAGCTGTGGTCGAAATATCGGCCAGCGAATTCCTCTCCCCCCGTCCTTCAGGGTGCGGAGATAGTCATTGTCCGAATAACCTCCCTTGCCACTTATGCGAGATGACCTTTGCGCCTCCCAACTGTGGAGTTTCGTAAATTCCCTTTCGTTTCCTTCAGCAGTGAAATCTTAGCAATTTTACATTAGTATTAATTTCACCAACATTTCAGTGTCATTAAAAATGTATTTTTTTCTCTATATTTTCCCTTTTTATTGTAATTTTTGTATTTAATATTGCTGTTTGAAGCATGGAAAATGCAATGGAGTACAATGCAATGAAAATATAATCAATAAAATCTGTTTTTAAAGTAAAGGAAAATAATTTTAAAAAAAATGCTGAAGGATAAAAAGAGCTTTTATCACAAAAACCACAAGAAAGAACAATGAACAATAATGTAGTTGAAAGATGAAATAACTTACGATATAGTGGGGGGGGGAATCAATAAATTAAACTGAATAAGAATACTAATGAAAAAGGTAAACGAAACTAATGTAAGAAAAATACATTGGGATTTGTTTGATATATAAATATAAGCTGTTATGCAATGCTTGGAAACAAATAAAAGCGAACTGTCGATTTATACGAAAAACAAATAGTTAAACATCGTTTTCGAATATAAATTAAAAATGTTAATAAGTACATGTAATTCTAAACTAAATTCAGTTTGGAAACAAATAAAAACTGAATAAACTATGAACTGATTGTAGGTGTGCATTTGCTGCTAAGGCGTATTTTTATTATGACAAAATGTCAAAAGTTAATATTCCAACATACGACAATTATTTAGCTACGAAATCTCACCATATGTTTCCCTAGTTTAGGGAAAAGAAACAGCAGAAAAGAGAGCAAATTCAACAAATTCTTTTATATTATTCCCAAGTCCCTTATCTGAAAATTAACAAAGGTGACCTACAGGAAAAGTTGCAAAAGCCCTTTACAATGGCAGCTAAAAGGGGGGTGGAAATGCATTTGGATTTCCCGTCTTTTTAAGTGAAACCTTTCCAAACTGCCTCGTCTCTTAAAGGTTAAGCTGCTATCCGTAGTACAGGCAGACTGTAGGGATTTTCATGCCTCATGCAATAGCATATTTTACTGCGTCCTTGCTAATTAATTATGGGTCATCTAAAAAATTCTGTGGTTTTTTTTTCAAATCAAAGTGCATTTTCTTTTTATTAATTTGTTACTGCTGATAAAGAGTGACTTTGTTGAAGGCAGATATTTAAATATGTTTTTTTCTGCTCATGTTGCACAATTCTAGCATATGTTGTGGCATAATTTTGCTTTCAATGTAGTGCTAAGACCCAAAAATTCATTTTTGTCATATTACTTTGAATAGCACGCCTGCTCTGGATGACCATCTGGAAATGCATCATACTGTTCAGGAAATATCAGATAAACTAAGTATTCCAAAAAGTAGAGTACATGATCAATTAAAAGAAAATTGGGTGTATAAACTGCTATGATGTATAGCAGCCCATACTTTGACAGAGCAAAATATGCTTGTTCGAGCTTTGGCATGCGGTTCTTTTCTAAAGAATCTAAAGCAGCTTTTTTTTTTTTTTTTTTTAATCAGCTTAAAGAGCTTCAAGTAAATCAAGTGTCACCGTTTCCCCCCCCCCAATCTAAATGTTAACATTTCAGAATCACTGATAAGTAATAAGAAGAGCTGTGAGTATTCCATCTATATTTTAGTAATAAATAGATATACAGTCAAAAGTCGTTAATCCGGACTCGTCGGGACTTCGGCGATTCCGGATTATTGATTTTTCCGGATTATAGATCATCAGTTTAAATCTCGTAAGATGGCATGCACAAATTCTAAAATTAAAAATATGAAACCGTATTTTAGGAAATAAAGAACAATTATGATCTAAAGGGTATCAAAATTTACAAAAAAAGAAGCTTAATATTTATTTGTTTACTTTATTAAACATTTCTTTCAATGTAAGTTGTTTCGTTTTATGTGATAACACTTTCTCTTTAATTCTATAAACAGACATAATTTCTTGTTCAGTTAAAAAGTCTCGCTGTTCAAGTCCCGTAATTGCTGTGCCAAGAATACCGACTAACTTGTCAATCGAAATTTTTTCGTTTTCACTAACCTCTCTGTCACCTTCTTCATGTCTTTATCCATTTTTTGCAGCAATTCCACTTTTTGTTTGACGGACATTGAGACATACTTTCGTTTTGTAGATCCTTTGGGAGCTCCAGAATCGGAAATTGACATAATCGAAAGTTCAAGTTTACTTTTATAAAATTGCTCTTACAGTCTGCAAAAAATAATAAGCTGCATCCAATTCGAAGATTAAGGAATAACGCAAGCATCAGCATTAACTGAAATAGATAATTGTATAATTTTAGCTTATACCGTCCCTTATACGTTAAACGTGCACGCGAAAACGTATTCTGCATTTGCGCACACGCATATGCGAGTGCGCGTAAACGCCTATGCGCATGTGTCAACGCAGCGCATGCGCAGAAAGTTTTAGCTTTGAGGTCCGGATTATGGGTGTCCGAATTAACGACTTTTGACTGTATATAAAAACAAAAACTCTGAATTATAAGGTACAATTATCATCTTTTGTAAATAAATGTGTATTACACATTAATATTATCAACAAAATTATGTTTCAAGCTACAGATTCTTATGTAATCAATTTTTTACTACACATGATGGAAAACTTTAAATCTTGTGAAAATTACTTTTCAATTGTATAACATTTATAAAAAGATAATTTTATTTTTAAAATATATATTTTTGTAAGCTTTAAAAGATAGTTTTGTACTATTAGTTATATTGATAAAATAATGAAACAGTTTTTCTTCAAAGGCATGAATACAGATCAAGTGGATATGTTTTCTAAAAAGGTAATTAAACACTGGTAAATTTATTTCACAATTTTCATCCTTATATATCTGTTTTAGTTTGTCAGAGTTATATAATTACTGTGATTAATTTCATTTTAGTGGGAAGAAGTGTATTCTGCTCTGGTGCAAACAACAGCTGCTGAAACAATTCATATCAATCCATTAATAGACATGGAATGGAAATTTGGTGGTAATTATTGAGTGCTACGTACTAATCTAAAATAAAATACAAATAATTTAGTAAAGCTGTGGTATCTTAAACTTTCATAATATCTGCCCAAATTTTGATTCAGAACATTTTTCATAAAGTTTAAATATGAGAGAGTCATGTAGATTTGCCATTCATCTAAAATAAAAAAGCAACTTCCTTTTCCCCCCTCCTTCTAAATTAGCAGTTTTAATAAGACTGTATTTACTTACATATTTTCATCTTTAGATGTTAAGCCCAAGATTCAGGAAAATTTTGAAGTATTCATGTAATTTTCTTCTTCCTCAAGATATTCAGAAAGCAAGCTTTCTAAATTTTAAAACTGATCCACCAACACAATGATTGCTTTCATCTTGCTAATTAATTTGCTTGGGGAATTTACATGCATAGGCTCTGATTGTAGAAGCAGTAATAGTGAAGATCTTCAAGAAAATGAAGATATCTAATGTTCTTAATAGTACTGGATTGGAATGGATTATTCAATTATGGCAAAGCACACGAGGGCTATCTGCCTAAAGGGAGGGATGCCTTCGTGGAGGACTTTCTAAGGGAAACTGGCTCGTATACATGTTACACATGGGGAAAACCACGAAAACGCCCATGCAGCCAGCCCGTTCGCGGGATTCGAACCTCAGACCGAACTACCAGTGTTTAGCGTCTTTACCGCTCGGCCGCTGGTGGGCCCCCTTAATAGAACTGAAGATTATTGTATGTGGGGAGTCAGACTAAATGGTGACAGAGGTGATGATGCAAGCTGTAGCAGATGACACCGAGAACACTTCCAACAGCATTAAATGATTTGAGGCATAGATATTAGCAGTGGAGAACAATAAAAATGGATGAGATTCAAGATACAGAGAAGTAGGAATGAAAATATCATATTAGATGGTGTAATATTACCTTACAATCCTATTAAAATGCAGGTTTCTTGTAAATAAATAATGTGTTGGTAGGCAGTAGTTTATCTTTGAACACTTTTTATTTGTTTGTTTTTGCTGTAACCATATCCTTTGAAAATTAAGTTATTTGCATAATTTTCTCCTGTCGATTTTCGTAAGATAAAATTAGTAAAGAAAGGGGGAAAACAAGTAAATGCGATATTTAATCAACATCATTGTTAATCATTTATGTTAAAATTTAGCAAAAATAAAATAATGAATAATTTTTTTTAAAAATGTGCTCCAAAGTAATGCCCTAATTGGTACATCATCATGCATTCAGAATAAAGCATGCCTAAATGTTTTGTTTTATTTAAAAAAAAAAAAAAACTAATATAAACAACTATATTGATACTCAAAGTTTATGGCACATGGTTTTCATGAGTACATGGTGAATGTTTCAGAGATTATAAAAAATACATTAAATTATTTAAAGTCATGACATTTCAAGATTTCAATCATTATTAACTAATCAGAAATGTATGCAGAAGTATTCCAATTGGTATAAAAATGTAACATTTTGAATATTAATTTATACGTTATTCAATTTATGCGATTTTGACTAAAAATTTATTCTCCAGAAGGTAACAGAAAACAAAGAAAAGATATGCTTCAGTACTTTATTGAAATCTACAGGCTTGCCCAAAATTAAAAATTTGCATAGTGAAAGCTAGGGTTGAAAATAATGTTCCCCCAAAAATCCAATGGCAGGTACTTCCATTGAGCATTGGCCACTTTTAAGACCATTTTATTGTGGAGGCACCTAATAGGTGGCCACTCTTACCTCCTAGGAAGAGACAGAGAGTTACAACCATGCCTGCTTTGGGATTCAAACCCAGGCCCTTTGGTACTGCAGTGAGCTCCCCTAACTGTTAAACCATCTGGGCAGCAGCTAGAAAAAGACATCATTCATTGTGAACTTGCTGCAGAAGATAAAAGTGTTACAAGGCAGTAGCACTTTTTGTGTTATGAAGCATCTGGTAGTGAAGAATTATTAGAATTAGGCTAGAATCTTAATAGCTAGGAAGTGGTATGTGTTGTTTGGCAATGCTTTCTTTATGAAATCAAAATAATATATTGTTACGAAATGTACAGGCGCAGTAAGATGGCTTCCTCGCAAAGCAGTTTTAGGGTTGCCATAAAATAACAAGGAGGGCATGGTTGCCATATTTGGTGAGAAATTGCCCATTTGGCGACAAAATTGGCGATATCCCATGGACGGTGGGAGAACCTTCTGGAACAAATTCTTACCGGTTTAGTCCAGAATGTTCCTGAACACAAGCCGAAAGCTATATAAACCATGGTGGTCTGCAGTCAGTAAGTGTGTGTCTCTCATCGAGAGTGTGTATGCCTCGTCTAACGCCAAGTGCATCGAGAGAGTCTTTTAGTGCATCATAGAGTTTTGTCTTAGACTGTGCTGAGTCAAGAGCTATACTCTTGTGTATCGTCGAGTGCATCGCGTGGAGAGTCTCGAGAGTACGTGGAGTTCCAAGAACAACCAAGCAGAGTTGGGAGCTGTACTCGGGTGCTTTGCAGTGAAGCTGTCTCCACCATTATTGGCTGACAGTGTGAAGGCTGTGTCACTGATTGTTCCAACGTGTTTATAGTAGATCTCCGACGACTGTAAAAAGTGTCATTAGAGCTGTCCTGATTAGCATTGGCTAAATAAAGTGTGTTACGATACTTCAAAAAGTGTCGTCGTTATTCACTCCAAATCTACACAAACCCAGTACGAATGTGAAGGAAGGAAATAATGCAACAATATGAATTTTTGGCAAAAACATAAGTTTGTGGCATCCAACATTTATCTTATTTGCCAAATCTGTTACTTTGTAACTTGAAGCTGTATATACAGCAGTAGTAAAGGTCATTGAAGTTATCCTTAAAAAAGTTTGCAGATCTATATATACATTGGTTTAGTGTGCCTAATATTGTATTGGTGTAAAAAAGCATATTTTAAGCATAAAATTTAATTTTTTGGCAAAATATGTTAAAAGCTTTAATTTCTTTTCAAACACAGTTTGTATACGTATACATATTCATTTTTTGCACAATTTTATTCAGATTGGCTTTTCTGTCTACAGTAGACTCATCATTAACTGGAGTAATACTGGGGTCAATGCACATGGTTAATCCAAAATCACCAGTTAACCACTTAACTGATTTGCCTGCATTCTGTACATATGTTACTTACAAGGTGCTCTTGAATTTGCCATCAGTGGCATATGGGTTAGAAGTTTATGCACTCTGTTAATGTTTTGTCCATGTTTTTGTTTTCTTTTTAGTTCAAAATTTTGTTAAGAGATGGCTAAAGCAGTCCTTTAAAGCATGATCACTATTCTAGTATTCCCCCTCCAGATTTCATAGAAAAGTATTTGGGGGAAAGTTTTTCTGAAGCATAATGTATGGGAAAAGTTTTGCAGATGAAATTTCATTCTTTACTAATGTTAATGAAATTATATTATATAGTATTTCTGTAATAAAATGACTCTTTTTTATAATTATTATTTATGGCTTATTGTTATGAACAGCACATAAATTTTAAGTAATAAAATTTTTATAATTTTCCTTATGAAAGTTGCTCTAAGTGCTTACATTTAATAGTTGTGAGCATTTAAACTGAAATTAACCTTTGCTCAAGCCAAATTTAAATTTTAAAAACTCACATTTTTTGGACTAAACTGGTTGCAAAAGAGATATAGGTAAGTGCTCAATCCAACAGCAGTTGAAAGAAAATTGAAAAGGAATAACATGCATTAAGGGGGGAGGGGAAAAAGCTTTTAACAATTTATCTGTGTTTTTAAGTGGTTTAATTTGGAGAAAAAGTTTATTTTTTAATGTAAATTAAATCAGCATTCAAAACAAGAAAAGTGCATTTCAAAACAGAAAGAACAATGTTCAACCAGTTTAAAGTAATGAAGTACTCTTGTATTCCAACTATCAATGGTGAAAAGCGAAGAGCAGATTAATGGCTGCACACTTATTTTTAACACGTTTAATATTTTTTTTTTTATATATATCTATATATATATATATTACAGATTGTGTACAATTAAATTATGCACTGTTAAGTATGAAAACAATTCCTAAATATTTTGACATCATCTGCTAACTCTGAATTTATCCCATGCATTTTCTTTTCCTTTTAAACATGCATAACTTTTCATTTAGACAAGGCTCAATTAATTGGAAATTAATTGTATGGGTCAGATCATACAGATCTTAATATCAATTTCTGAATAACTTTTATCAAGCTTTTTGAAATTTTATACACATGTGGGGTGCAATAACAAAGCAATATTTAAAAAATAAAAGCATTGCTACCTTAAAAACCATTTTATTAGGACATGAACAGTATTTTCAGGAACAATAAAAGTATTAGTGCAGAATGACATATGTAAAAATAATTGTATAATTTTAAGTTTGATTTAAAATATGTTATTAATGACCGCACACCTTTATTTTAGTCACATATGACCAAAAATTATCCTTTTTAATTAAGTAAATGTGTACAATTTTATAGCTTAAATGTTAAGTTTCTTCCTTATTATGGTGGCCGCTGAGATCAAATCGTTAATAAACCAAGATATCTCACCACATGTTCTTATATTAGCATTGTGTTTCATTTTTGCTGAGATTTTCCATTTGGCAATGTTTTCTTTTTTTTTTTTTTTTTTAATATGCATTGCTTATTTTTTTCTGAATGTTGGTTAACAATCTTTAACCTTTTACACGCCAAACTATAATACAAAAGTAAAATAAACTTTTTTTTTTTTTTTTTTTGTGTGTGTGTGTGTGAAAAATCGATTTAAAACTCAAACATAAAAATTATGAAAAAAGAAAAAATAATTAAAAAAAAAATTTTAATGATTTGTAACATGTTCCATAAAAGGAACATTGGCGGGAAACAGTTAGTTTTTTTACATGATTTTTGTAAAACATGACTATCGACATTCTAATTCGAAACTTCATTTTTGTCTGCACTTTTTCAGCATTATCAAGTGAATTTGTCAACGTTATTCGGAAGTAACATAGATTAAGCAGAAAAATAGGGAGCCTACACCTTTATAACCGCAAAGCTACTCCACCAAAATTTCTTAGGAGAAGATATGAAGCTTCCACAGAAAATTGCGTTCGTAATAAATTAAAACAAAAGTTACATAGTTGATAAGAAAGAATTTATAAATGAATTCTACATTAATTGTTAGCAGTTTATACTGAAACAAGGAAAAGAGTTGTAGAAACAAGTAACAAATAATCTCCATACAAAAATTCACACTGCAGGAATGGAAGATGCCGAACTGTGGAAAGTTTTTTTCCAGTTCTTCATAAAAAGAAACTTTTCCTGTTTTATCTCCTAATGCCAACTATGTATTATTTATAATATGAAAATATTTTTTCAGTTTTCAACATCTATTTCTTGGCATTGCAGAAGAAACTACTGGGACAGAATAAATCCTTCTTGAATGCTCCAGTATAAATCTTCGCCGGGCTACTCCATGATACCCACTAAACAGACAGTAATCCAAAAAAACTGTCCAATATCGTTTTCATCTACTGCTAAAACTTCTCCTTTCTGCATTGTGTAAAGACCTGTCATAAATTGCTAAATGCAGCAAATATTCTCTAGTTAGGAATTTGTGAAAAATTTCAACTGGGGATAAAGTAACTAGTTCAGGAAACACTTCGCAAATATTTTCAATGCTGCCAGTTTTTAGAATTTTGTTAAAATTAAAATTTTTACCCCATAGATGTTAAATGTTTTTCTCTTTCGCATTTAGTTTTGGCTTCAAATTCTTCTTTCCCTTTGAAGATGAAGGTTCTTGAGGATCAAATGAAATTTCTTGAGATATTTCATCATCATCTATTTTATTAGAAATTTCGATTTTTCCACATACATCCGCTGGCAGAACAGGCTCAAAAATATCTTCATTTACATCTTCCTCATCTGTCAAACATCTGGTTTCCTTTGGAGGCAGTTGACAAATATCAATACACTCTTCATCATCTGATAATATATAAAAATATTCCAATGCTTCTTCAATAGACTGAAATGGTTTTGAATGACCCATCTTATCAGCGTAGCGTATCTTCACAAACTGAAAAAAAAAAAAAAAAAAAATGCAAACAATGGGAAAATAATGAAATCCACACTCCAAAATATATGCCTTTTTCACTGAGTCATAAACAACCTCTAGCGTCTAGCCTATCAAGAAATGCTACGTGCTTTTCTCTAGCAGCTGCAAGTAACTCACTTCAAAACCCTTATGGGAATGTGTGAAAGGAGAGGAGGGGAATATACAGGAGTCGAAAACAGATTAACAGTCATAAACATCTGTTTTCCACACTTAGTGGAACTTTTCACGTTTGGAAAATCATTCTCCATGCCTCTATTCACGGCAATCAAAGTAATTTCATCATGTTAAAAAATATACCTTTATACGCCAATGTTTCCTTTCTGGAACATCCACATTTCTTACCTCAAAGTAAAAAATAATAATCATCTTTCTATGATAACTTACTGTCTATGCATAAAATGATCCTTTTTAAATATCCTCATTGAGTTTTAAAAACATTTGTTAAATTTTTAATTTTATATGAATTTCTGAATTTTGCTCTTAGAAAAGAAGGAAAAAAGGTGAAATAATGAATTTTTTTATCAAGATAATTTTTCTTTTAGAAGAATTATATTGCTACTAAAACATCAATCCATATTTACTCTCCATGTAATAATTTATACAAAGCAATATTAATAAAATTGTGTTTTTTATAAAAATTTTAAATTCGATGTTCCATTTATGGAACATTGGCATGTAAAAGGTTAATTTGCCTAATAAAGAGGTGAATGCCATATCATTTTTTCAAGAAAGAGATCATTTACCTGAAAAAAGAGTGTGCAAAAATAGCTGCAATAGGAAACTGTATGTTAATGACAAAACCATTTGGAGGTGTAATTTGAAAAAATGTAGAAAGAAGGACTTCTATGTTGGAATTTGATTTAATGGTTTCAGAGTATCGCTGGTTTCTGCTATTAGGTTTATGTATTCTTGGTCAGAAGAGCTGACGTCCATCAAATATTGTGACAACCAATATGCATGGAAATTCTTCAGTTGATTAAGCAATTGCATGCAGGAAATGTTTCCTACATCTGATGCTAAGATTTAATGGGCAAATAGGCAATCCCAATAAAATAGAGGAAATCGGTTACAGTTTGTTCATCTGACATTAGAGCTTCAGTGGCAGAGTGCTCTCAAAACAGTGGATTTTTGGAACAATATGTTGGGAAGATGGGAGTGCTTTTTCATTCAAAACTCGAATACAAATGGAGAAAATTACTCAACATGTGCAAAATGGATCAACAATCTATTCAGACTTCTGGAACGGTTATAAAATGGAGCAACTTGAAATTAGTTACAGTCAATTTAATGATTATTAAAAATATTTTTACAAAATGTCCAGGCCCTTTAAGATAGCTTACCCATAAAGCAGGTTCAGGGTTGTCAACAAATGCAAGGAAGGGTAAGGTTGCCATATTTGGCAAAAAATCGCCCATTTGGCGACAAAATTGGTGATATGCCATAGACAGATGAAGAACCTTCTTGAATGAATTCTTACTGGTTTAGCCCAGAAATGTTCTCGAACACAGGGCAAATGCTATATAAACCCTGCTGGTCCGCTCAGTCAGTGTGTCCCTAGTCAAGTCAGTTAAGAGCCAGTGAATGAGTGTCTCAAAGTCTAGTGCCAAGTTGATCATCGAGTGCATCGAGAGAGTCTCTTAGTGCATCATCAAGTTTGATTTTAGAGTGTGTTGAGCTCTGAGAATGACTGAACTGAATCGGGAGCTGTACTCTAGTGTATCATCGAGTGCATCGCGAGTTGTAGCATGGAAATTCTCAAGAGTACATAGAGTTCCGAGAACAACCGAGCGAAGTCGGGAGCTGTACTTTGGTGCTTTGCCGTGAAGCTGTCTTAACCATTATAGCTTGAAGGCTGTGTCGCTGATTGTTTCAGCATGATTAAAGTAGTTCTTTGACGACTGTAAACGTGTTATTAGAGCTGTCTTGAATAATATGGCCAATAAAGTGTGTTTTGATACTTCATCAAGTGTCGTTATTATTCACTCCAAATCTACGAACCCTTAACGTGAAGAGAAAAACACAACAATATTCTGATCAATATCTGTGCATTACTTTGTCATTTTATTTTTAAATTCATGATTGACAAGTTTGAGCCACTAATAAGGAATTACCAAATATTATAATTTCATAGCATTTGTATTTTGCATATATATTTGTTTACTTTTTCCTCTCAACATATTTTCACTATATAATGTGAAAATAAATTTGTAACACAAGCGGGTTGTTCCTCAATTATGTTGTGAAACTATAGTTGTAAAAATAAACTTCATGCATCTATTTTCTTTTCAGCTTCCTAGTTTGGACTAATTTTAAGACTTTGTTAAATAAAGCAAATATTTCAAAAATGGGAGTAATTTCATCTATTCAGTATTACGGTATAAAAACCTGCCTAAAAGAGGAAAAAGTACACAATCTTTTAATTATTAATGACTTTTAACTTCAAATGTTTGACAGTTTTTTCAGCTCTTGAAACAGCATTAGGGATCATTTGCTGTAGTAGTAGTTCAGAAGACATTGCTATTTACATTTTTACGAAACAAATTAATTTATAAAATGTCAACAAAGATCTGAAAATGTATGTTAAGTATATAAATAATATAAAATAAAACTTTTAAATATATTAACAAGCAGGTTTTATAAATTGGAATATTAATTTGCAATACTAGTTAAAACAAATTTCTTTTTACTTTTACACATAAATTGAATAATATATATTTATATGCAAGGTTGGAATTCTGTTCTCTATTATAGTATCATCGGCAAGTAACCAACTGAATGCTATTGGGAATGTTTTCTTACAAATCAAATTGGATCTGGACATAGGGAATGGAAGGACTAAAAGTGTATGTTTTGGTATGTAACTTTTGGAAATTTCTTTTTACAAATATGAAGCATTTTGTCCTTAATACATTATATGTGTGTATTGACTTATTAATTTTCTAATTTTAGAGCTTCAGCTTTCTGAATTTTATGCATTTTTACATGAGATGGAAAGAGCAAGAGCAAGTCTGGACTATTTAAGTTGAATGAAATCGTATGTTTAGAAGGTTCAGTGTAAAAATATTCTTATATTTTTAACAAACTAAGACAGTTGTTAAATATGTATATTAAAAATTCTGTTTCAATAAATTTGTTATAAAATTTAATTATGTACTTAATTTGTCATAGAAATATTCTCATAAATCACATAATATATGGGAAAAATCATTTTACATTTCTTTAGAATTTATTCATTTTTCTAACCACCAGTTTTTCAGCCAGTTATTTTCTGTTCAAGACCTTTACTGTCATTCTCATTTTCCTGCCAGAATGCATATTTTAGGTTGCGCATATTAAAATGAAATAAAAAGATATAGTATTTAAAGGCAAGTAATCAGAGTGTGTTCTGCCTACTGAAGGCCACATTACTAGTTGAATCTCTTCAACAGCAGTCTATCTATGGTATTGCAATATTCTAACCATTAGGCTTGTCATGTCGGTATTAGGGCTGAACCAACTTTGCATGTTATTTATTCTGCTTAGTCTTTGGCTAACTTAAGACTTAGTTTAGTTCCAAATTGAATTTATTACTTTTTTGAGTTATGCCATAAATGCTGGCTGATTGTTGGTTTGTGCATTAGCACTGAAGGCATAATGAGTAAGTTTCCTCAAGCGCATCTAGTGGCCTTCAGAAAAATGTTCCACCTTAAAATGCGTATACACATCACCCGTCCTCTGAATGCGATCTTTACTGATGCATGGATGGGACGCCCGGCTGTAAGAGACGTTCTTAGTGAATGCGTATATGGGACGCCCATCCTGAAAGGGTTAAATAAATAAATATTGTGATAGTCACTGGTAGTTTATCCATGAATACTTTTTGTCTGTTATGTTCTTACTATAACCACATCCTTTGGAAATTAAATTATTTATGTAATTTCCTTCTCTTGATTTTTGTACAATAAAATTAGTAAAGAAAAAGGGGAATGCACGAGTAATTATGGTATATATCCATGCTTACAATTACTATTCATTAGAACCAACATTATTTGTATATAGGATTCATTTCTGCTACATAAGAATAATATTGCTGTTAACCAAGATTATAATAATAATATCTTAATTCTCTTGAAAAGTATGGCATGTTACATGAGAAAGGCATTCTTCCTGAATCCCTGTCCAAGCATCCTGAATCGCTTCAAACACACTGTAGGAAAAGTGGTTATGATAAAAAGAGCTCTTGAGCACTATTATTAATAAACGAAATGCCAACAAATCCTGCAATTTGTTATGTATGACTGTACTTTATATTTAATGACTGTACATCATATAACTTTTTGTCGTTACTCTACACTCATTAAACTTCATAAAAAAATTTATATTTATGATTCGATAAGTCCAGTAATTTGCAATATAACTTTAATAAAAAAGTTTTATCCCTATGTATTTTATTAAAATAAATTATCATAGTGCAATGAACAGTATTTAATAAAATATGTAATTTTGTGTGTAATATGTTTTTACTATCAATAAGTTCTAGAAATTTCCAAACAGTGAAATTTTTAATTATCATATAAAACAGTCATTGTCTTTCTTTTATGTTTCTACTTATAAAGTGTATATTATACAATACAAAATATAAAAATTCTCTGGTACAATTGTAAATATGCTTTTTTTATTATGCACTTAGTTATTATGTAAGTATGCTTCTTATGCACAAACTTTTCATTAAAAGAACATAATCTGTTTTTGAAATTAGTTCCCCAATTTAAAATTTTTATTGTATTTGAAAACATTTCACTCAGAATTGTGGCTGTGCAGTTAATATAAAATTATTTTTAGGAGGTTATTATACACTTCCAGTACGCTGTAGGCTCTCTAATTACGTTAAGAAATATAAACAGTCACAATTTATTCAGATATTTAATGACAACCACTTACATATTTTTCAATTTATTTTTAAAATGATAGGGGAAAAAAATTAGATAAATGTCTGCTACATGTTTTGCATTACATTAAAATTTTTATATATAACGTAAGTTTTCAAGTTATAAAGAAAACTAAAAGTCTTTCAATACTTAAAAATCCATGCAACATCAAATATCAACGTCAATGGCAAATGTTGTTAAATGAAATTCAGTTCTGTTAATAACATAAAAAATTTTACAACTTTCAAATTAAAAACTGGAAGTATATAAATGTCATCACTAAAAAGGGAAAATATTGGTCATAAAAGGCAACAGATAATTTTCCACTGTTTGTTGAGTATTGAAAAATGGGGGGGGGGATACAGCGAAGAGGCTAAAGTTAAAATAGTAGCATTACATGATTATGTATCAAAAATGTGTTCATTAAGCAATTTAACATCACAATGATTGGAATTTTTCACTTTCACTATGATCGAACTTCAAAACTATATAATTTGTTGAAAACTAATGACTGCATAATTTGGATAGTAGACAAACATATAACATCTAAAAGTTTTAAAACAAACTTGCAAAACAGACGATTGAAAAATATTATTTTTTGTTTTCTTTATGCTTTTAATTATTTTCTTTTTATATCAAATTGTAACATATTGAACATATCTATAAAAACGTTAAGGGGAAAAAAAATTAATGGACATCTTAAAATCCAGTGTTTTTTTTTTAATTGAAATATGCTAAATTAAAATCTGCACAACCTATCACCCCATGCTGTGTGGAATTTTATCTTCTGTATTTGATTTTACCTATCTATTTGAGACTTAAAACTGATGCTGGAGATGGGGGAAAGTTTTATAAATGGATTAATATCCCTTGTTTTTAAGTTTTAAGTTATTTAAAATCTTTATGCTCCAAAATATTAATATTTTTATTACAATGTAATATTTAGCTTTTAATCAATCATACTGTAAAGATAATATATGCAGTAAAAATTAGAAATCTCAGTTGCAATTATCTTTCACACTGCAATTAATTATAACAAATTATTTTATTAGAATGTAGTAAATGCTCAAAACTTTTATTTAACAATCTCATAATATTAAATACTCCTTAGATTAAGCCAAAATTCTGGCTATCTCTAATATAACAATTAAAATTTAACATATAGAAATTCTTCAAAGAAAACAAAACAAAAAAATCACAATTTTAGTATGTATAAAATTTAGAAATATACATAAAAATTACATAATTTGTACATAATAAAATTGATTTTACAAATTTGCATAAATATGAAAACTAGGAAAACTTTTTTTGTTTTGAGAATTCTTGCTCCAATTCTTTTAAATTATTCTCGAGCATCCGTACTTCATCGTACTTATGATCTAGAGTAGCTTGTTGTATGTATTTATGAATAATATTAATCTGCTGTAACATTGGATCTTCCTCTTCCTGAACTTTGTCAGAACTCACGCACCACCCAGTATCTGGAGATACAGGTTCCATCGTTTTTGGTTTAGACACAGTTACCGGGGAAGGGCTTTTAGAGCTTTCTTTTTTATTTTGCAGCATTTCAGCCTGTTTTTCTAACTGGATTCTGCGCTGAACCTGCCCAAGGCGTATGCTTTGATAACGGGAAACTTCTTCAGGTGTTGGAGGTGAAGGAAGACCTAAAATAACATTTCGTAAGAATTGGGAAGCAGCCATTCTGATACCAGTCTGAAGCTGTTGCATCCGACAAGAGTTTTCATCAGTGGCTTCTAATTTCATTATTTTCTTACTGTAATAGTAAAACAATAATGAGAGTTTAAAACATGACCTCACAAAATTTAAATTCATTTTAATTTGGGATAATTTAAAAAATATTTAATTTATAATCTATTCTACTAAACCTAACCTAATCTAATCTTTCTAAATTATTCAGAAGTGAATTGCAGAGCAGATTAGTTTTGGCTGACTAAAAGTATCGATAATTTAATTCTTCTGTTTGCCCCATATAAAAAGCCAATTTCAAATATGTAAATCAAATTCATCTATTTAAGTTTTTTTGCTTATTTTCTAAACTGCCTTACACTTATGCTAAACTATAAACTTATGCTAAATTACTTTACTATTGCTACCCTACACTCATGCTAAATGTGCATAATAGACTAGTAAAAAGACCAAGTAAAAGTTGAAGAAATTCTCCAAGTAAATATTCACTTGATGTAAATAGTAAGTGAACAAAAATGTACTAATTCTTGAAAATAATAAAATATACACTGAAATGAAACTAAGATTATTATCTCACAAATTCAGAATAAAATGTTGCTAAGGAAGAATTAAAAGCAGATACAAAAACAATCTATCCATCTCATTCTAATTTCAGATTGCATGAATAATAATAAACAATATTTTAAATAAGTAATTTTATTAACAGAATTTTATTTAAATGCTTGTTAAATTTATGTGAAAATATGTTAAATGTATAGTTTTAAGAAACAAATAATGCCTAAATATGAACATGTATAAGGATATTATTTCCCAGTTAGTGAGCCTATATAAATAAGTTTTGTAAAATTCATCAAAAATTTATTCAGCAACTGAATAACTCAGTTTTCTGTAATACTGAAAATAATGTTCTTAAAACAAAGTGATTTGCAATTAGCAGTTTTAAATTACAAACTACAATTGCATTTTAGTTATTTAAAAAGAAAAAAAGTAGTACAAATTTTTTAAAACAAATTATGTGAAGAAATACAGAAGTTAAAAAGTATATCTAAATAATTACGTTTTATTTAAAATCTGGCAAGATGTTTGAATTTTACTAAATTTTAATTTACCTGTGAGCATCAATTCTTTCAGCTAATTTTGTTATTTTCATTTTCAGCTCTCGGGCACTATCTAACTGATACTCAGTTTCACCAGAGCTAGAAATTACATGATTTTTTATTATATTAATGATATTACGTGATATTTTATTTGTATATTATATATATATTAACAGTAAGTAATGGTAATTAAGTAAATTATTTAATGGTTTATTCAACATAACAGAATTTGAAACAAATATCAGTTTGAAAATTTAACATTTAGCTGTCAAAATATTTGAATTATGTAATGTAACCAAGAACAATTTCTCACATGTACCAAAATTTAGATTTCTGACAAAACACAAGTACTAATTTTGATTTTTTCCTTTGTATTATTGTTGGTGTTAATTATGTTTAAAAAATATATGTCAAAGATTAGGCAGACAAAGAAAATGGAAAAAAAAAATATCTGAAAGAAACAATCCAGATCAATTTTAGCCAGGAAGTGAAGGAAAAAGCTATAAGTTAGAGAAATAAAAAATAGGTATATAGAAAAAAATTGTAGAAAATACAATCAAATATTACTGAAAGAAATTTTCAGTTAAATCATGTTTGAGTTAAATTAAATTTAAAAAATATAATTTTCAAACATATAAATTTACATACAACATGCCCCACACATGCATCATGCATAAGATCAGGTTATGAAGGGAGTGATATCCATACATTATGAGTATATGTGTAATAATAAATTGATACAAAGAGAGAATTTAATAGAACCATTCACTAATTTTCACAGTGTAGTGCAGTGATGATGATAGCAGATACCTTGACTCTGTGGCATAGTAGTCACAAAATTACTTGATAATCTGACATCTCATTATTACTTGTCGATTCTTATCAACATATTTTATTGCATAAAATTTTATTGCTCATTATATGGCAGAGCACATTGAAACAATCTGCATCCCACAATTTTAAACTTCATAGTTACATCGGGGGGGGGGGGGAATAATGGAGAAATAGATCTTAGTAAAGAGACATGATTTATCAGGAAAGTGCAAGTGGCAAAAGAGCAATGTAGTAAGTATCTAGTACTATTTATAACCTTCTAATGCTTTGTTTTAATTCTGAGCATTGAATGGGCTGCAGCAATGTGGAATGCTGCATGGGAAGAGTGACATCAGTTAGAAATAAAGGAGGTTTGCCTTTTAATTCAAATCAGAAATTTAAAGATTAATTGCCAATTGAATATCTTTTATATTTTACATATTTATTCAGGTATAAGTGCGCTTTCACCTCCAAGAAAGATAACTATTATTATTGCAAAAATTCATGATGGGTAATATTTACCTTTTGATAAATAAGAATAAAAGTTACTCAAATCAATATCTTCAAATCCTTGAATAAGGTTTGTACCACACTAGTAAATTAATAAGCTCCATTTGTCTCCATTTCTTTCATGCGTTAATGAGTTTTGTTTTAATTAACGATTAGATAATTCTATTCTTTAAATGATATAAATTTTGTGCATTATGAGTTATAATATGAACGAAATATAGTACTGTTAAGTGAATCTAGCGCCAGAGTGCCTATGGTAAACAAATACTAGAGTGAATTTTAAAGAATGCATTTATTCCATTGTGGTTTATGCGCTGTCGGCAAAGTAGATTTAATTCAATCCAATAAGTTTAAATGAAATGCAAGAAAAAATGTGTATAATTTAATATTCCGTACAAGGAAGTCATGTGGTGTACACATCAGATTTTTTTTTTTTTTCTTGCAGTTCTTTACTGAGAATATTTAAATGTCTGGTTAAATCAACAACAAATGTTAAATTTCTTACCTATATATCATTATATACCTAATCATTGTTGTCAGGAAAATTTTGATTACATTTATTAAATAAACTGTTTTAATATAGCTTGAGATAACTACATCATCTCATTATACTACACAATTTCTCTGTATTTAATTTCTGTTTCTTCAAGTAGTGTGACAAACTCAATAAATTAGAGCTCGAGGATAAGATTTACTATTTTAGCTATTGTTTCCATAACCTTATCCATCTGAAAATGTCATCAGCAAATACATAACTAAAATGTATTAGTATGTTCCATAAAATTGCTTTGGGAGCCAAATGTAGGGCATCAGTTTGAGACTACTGCCTTACAGAATGCTTTAAAAACATCCATTTGTGCATAAAATTCAATTACTTAAAAATCTTGAAAATTAATAAGAATTTATGACTGAACTTACTTGAGAGATTCGATCATTTCCAAGTATAGTGGTACAAGTCTTTCTACTTCTTCCATATATTCTTTCATTCTCTATGAAAATAAAAGAAAGATGCAAAAATTAATGGAAATTTTAATGCACATAAAGGAAGAATAAATTAAAATAGTTAATATCATACAATGTATACAAAATATGCAAATCAACTTGAATTTTAAGAGGTGGTAAAATTCAGGATTAATTTCAATAAAAGTAGGCCTAGCCATCCCCTTGAAATGCAACAGCTCTCTTTCTATTAAAAATTAAATTAATAATCAATTCATTTTATTTTTTAAAGATATATAATGTTATTTTTTAACATATTTCAAAACTTCTTAATAATAAATAATGCATCAGTATTTTCATAAGCTTTAATACTTTTATACTAATACAACTCACGCTGCAACCATGAATATATGGGAAGTTAAAAATAAAAATTAGTTCAAACAGAATGAAAAAGAACATATGTGCACTAAAAAGTTTCTCTTTTTTATCATTGGAATATATTGGATAATAGTAGAAAAGGCTTAAAAGGTGTAAAAAAATAATTTTGTTTAATTCATAAGTAATAAAATATGATTAATCCGTGAATGGTGGTGGTATTTTTATTAGCACAAAAAGCGGCAGAGTAACAAATAGCAGAACAATTAAAAAAAAAAAAATCCCGACATTTACTCCTAAATATTTATAAAAAATTGCTACTTCTGGTATTCTGTTTCACCACTCATTTTTCATATATTCTTTTCCAATAAAATTATGAACATCATTTTCATTAAAATCAGTTGAAATGATTTTTAATGGAATGTATTATTTGCATCAAATTTAATCCGTGAATGGTGGTGGTATTTTTATTAGCACAAAAAGCGGCAGAGTAACAAATAGCAGAACAATAAAAAAAAATTAAAAAAATCCCGACATTTACTCCTAAATATTTATAAAAAATTGCTACTTCTGGTATTCTGTTTCACCACTCATTTTTCATATATTCTTTTCCAATAAAATTATGAACATCATTTTCATTAAAATCAGTTGAAATGATTTTTAATGGAATGTATTATTTGCATCAAATTTAATATACACTTACATTTCATATGCATATAGTATTTGCTTTAAAATATGTAAAAATAGCATAACTCTAATCTATATTTTTGATAAAGAGTTCATACAAATTATTCTTTCGAAATCATATCAATATTTAAAACCAAGATTAATTGAAACAAAATGATAAATAATTTTTTTAATTTAAAAATCAATATTAAAATCTGAATTAGAATTTAAAAGAACTTTTTAAATCTAGATTTAGATTTAAATCAATTAAAACCATTGTAACCAATCCTTTAACATAAACTGTGGGACTAACTGTGACAACAAGGCTACCCTCTGGTGAGTAGCCAGAGAAGGACCTTGTAAAAGCCAAGTGTCTAACTTGATAGGTTGTATCAGACTCTTGCTCTGCAAATTTCTTAAAGTTAAATGTAGTGTCCGTGTGTAACTTAAATCTGTTAATAAATACTTGTTACACTATACAGGACTTTTGACTCTTCTATGACCCTATCTAAAATGACCCCCCTCACAAAGTGACACCCAACTTTAATGTTTAGCTTTAAGAATTTTCATTGCCTTTTACTCACTTTCTTTTCAGAAATAGTACTTGCATCCGCACCCTGTGGATCCAACTCCTAAAACTTTAGAAAAAGAAACACCTCGCCTGTCAGGGATGAATTTTTTTGTGTGTGCCACTCCGATGGCTTATCAGCAACAAATAGTTGTTGCCAACGATACAATTTGTTTTACATTTAAACACTAATGTTCTATAATGTGTTAACTCTTAATGTTGAAACCATGAAAATACTTAAATATGAAAACGTAAAAATATTTTACTGTGTTCTTAAAGTATATATGTATATCTTTTATGAATGTATCATTTGAAGTGATTTAAGAAATTCTTTCATTTTGTTTACACATAATGAATGCATGAGAACAGCATAATCATAATATTCAGTTTTGTTTCAAAATGGTAATTGTGGTAAAACATAAAAAGGTGTAATATATTCAAAGCGAGGCACTTAAAGAGTAAAATTCTGTATTAGAAATATGCTGAATGTATTCAATCTTATAAATGCAGTTTTGATTTGAGCTTAACTTGACGAACCAGTAGCTCAATGACATGTTTATTACCCTGTTGCCTCCATGACGGTTTTATTTATTGATCTTTTTCCTTGCATTTCCGGTTACATTGCTGAAAATTGTTTTTATTTGATTATATAAAGAAGCATAAGATTTTTTTTTTTGGCAAAATGTTATTTTTTTTATACTGATTGATAAATGTTTCAGATGTGTGAGATTCTTTTAGTTTCATAAGTGTATTGCTATCCAGGAATGTTTTTGTTCTTTGAGAATAGAAATAATTAAAGGAAAAGGATTTTTATTGATGTTATTTAAACTGTGCCATTTCTAAGCCCTGTAAAATGTTTTCTTTTAAGGAAGAGAGTGTTTTTTGTATATTATTTTAACACTGTGTTACTTTTGATACAACTAATTTTAGTATAGTGCTCTTCTATAGTAAAATGACTACAAATCTTTTCTAGGTAAGGTGACCTCATTACAACCTTCTAGTTAGTGCCATAATAAAGTGTTTTTTTTTTTTTCATCCAAGAATTTATTTTAAGTGAAACATGTCACCATGTTGTTTTTTGCTAAAGGACGTAAACAAGATATGTGTGTTCTAGCAAATGAACTTGGTGTGAATGTTATGGAACAAATGACAATAGTTGATATTAAGGATGCCATTTTAATGAGTAAGAGATATAATGAAGAGTTCACTAAAGATTTATTTTTTAGCATTATTGCAGAATGAAAAGAAATAGAGGAATGTGAATTTAATGAAAGAAAACAGCATGAGAAACGCAAATATAATGAAAGGAAAGAGATAGAAGAATGCAAGCATGAGCTTGAGAAATTGAAAAAATTGAGAAATTGAGGCTCTGATTCTGTACCTGCTTCGAAACTCACTGACACGGATATTCTTAAGTTACAGTTACAAACTTTAATTCCTCACTTTAATCCAAAAAGTGATGACATGAGCCTTTTTTTCACTTTATTTGAAAGGCAAGTAACAATTTTGAACATATTTCAAGGGAAATGAGGAGTGTATCTCTTACGTTTGTTACCTAATGACATTGCAAAACTTATTGCAAAGGAATCTGCTGTTGATACACAAGATTATGACAACATCAAACAAATTATCTTAAAGCATTTTAAACTAAGCGCTGAAATGTTTCGACAGTTATTTTCACAACATCGCCAAAGTCCTGATAGTACATGGTGAGATTTTTACTTCGATTCAAGAAATTTCTTTGATGGCTGGATTGGCGAATTAAAAGTCAATACTTTTGAGAAGTTAAAGGATTTGATGATATTGGACCACATTAAAAGACGGTTCCCTTCTGAGTATAGAGAACATTTTGTGGATCATTGGTCCGAGTGGACTGATCCACTTGAACTGGCTGATATATTAGATTTATATGAAGAAGTTAAAAAAATCAGAAGTAGAAACATCAGTAATAACCGTCTCAACACTACGTTAAGACACTATGTTGTGGCCGTCTCAATGTAGTGGTCCTAAAAATTATAAAAATAACCCTCAAATTGTTAAAAACTCAGCGAGAAGGAATTCTGGCATGAGAGAAGATCAACCAACTGTTAGTTGTTATGGTTGTGGAAAATCAGGTGTCATTAAGGCTAAGTGTCCAACCTGCTCTCCTCCTTTAAGTAAAGAACCAGCCGACTTCAAAGCAATAGACTTACATTCAGTGTCTGTAGAGACACCTCACACGACTCTTTTAAGAGTAAAAATCAACGGACTTACAGGAATTGTCTGTGCTGACACTGGCGCTACTCTCACTATAGGAAACCAAAAAAACTGAGACTAGAAACAATGTTACAAGAGCTCCCAAATCCTCCAGTTCTGTCTCTCCTTGCCGGGATGTTGGCGGAGCCAGAGGGGAAGTTTGTAACCAATCCTTTCACATAAACTGTGGGATTAACTGTGACAACAAGGCTGCTTTCTGGTGAGTAGCCAGAGAAGGACTTAGTAAAAGCCAAGTGTCTAACTTGATAGGTTGTATCAGACTCTTGCTCTGTAATTTTCTTAAAGTTAAATGTAATGTCCGTGTGTAACTCAAACCTGTTAATAAATGCTTGTTACACTATACAGGACTCATCAATGACTCTATCTAAAATGACCCCCTTACACCATCAGTTAATATTAAATTACGAGATACAGATTAAATTAAAAAGGATCCTTTAAAACCACATAAAAATACACAGCAAATCTAGCATCCAAAATAATAAATGTGGTAAGGAGTCAAAAATCAATGGCTATGATTTAGCTAAAAGCTAATATTATGTGATTAAAAAAATGTATGCTTCTTCATTTTAATACTCATGAAAATACATGAAAAACTATATATGCTGCTTGTAAAAATTTTGTTATTTTGCTGTTGTGCAAGTGTTGCTTAGTGTGCTTTCGTGGTAAGCATGAAGAAAGTGATGTTGAGTAATAAAATTAAAAAGACACAAAAATACATGTAGGTCATTTGTTTTAAAAAAATATACATACATATGATTAAACAGAAAAAAGATTGAAAAAACAAACAAAAAAAAAGTGTGGCAACACATGACTTCCTTTCAGAAATTCTAAAAATTCTAAATTTTGAGATTTTACTGTTGAATTTTATGTGGTGTAAGTGCAAAGAAAGCAGTGTTTAATAATAAAGTTGAAAAAACAAAAAAAAGTTGTGTTAGCATAGTCTAACAGCAGATTGGTAAACTGTGAATGCAGCAAGAGTATAGAAAACCTTAATAAACCCTCTGGTGCAATGTTAATATTTGAATCCTTTTAGATTTTCATTGTTTAAGTGGGGAGGGGTGCAACCACAGCTGACACATCAGCGTTACAGTAACAAGAAATTACTGAAGAAATTAATTTCAAAAGAAGAAAATTTAGATAGAATAATTTTAGTTAGAAAAAATTACTAAAGGAATTGAGTTGTCTTACTCAATTTTAGTAATTCCTGCTTTGATGGAATGCAAAATTTTTGCTTATAGGATATAAACTTGGCTTTATATGAATAATTTGATGAAAATTTTATCAAATTTTCCTTTCCTTTAGCACAGGGTAGCCAAACTTCCTGACAGCAGAAGCCACATTTTACAAATTGAAAATTTTGAAAGCTACAAATATATTTTCCAGTATTTGCACACATTTTCTTATTTACATTGTTTTAAAAGTAATTAAATAAATATTTATGAAAAGAAATATATGAAATAAATTATGGAATTAATGTAATGCAATATAAATATAAATATGGACTTTTATTTCTTCTGCTTCATGTCCAGAAAATTTTGTAATTGTTGACTGATTTCCACAAAAATAAAAATTTTCATTTAACAGAGAATAAAGTATTAATTGTAAGGATATATCCAGTGATTTTTCTTTATTTGTAACTTATCTGCTCTTCTTTGGAAAGAATAAAACAAATAAAACTGGAGAGCATTAGAAATAGCTTTTTGAGAAAGTTTTATTTGAATCTGGCAAAGCACACGATGGCTAACTGCTTAAGGGAAGTGATGCATTCATGGAGAACTTTCTGAGAGAAAACTTCTTGTATGTTAGCTATTTGAGAAATTGTTCAAAATAAACTTTCAACTTTAGCTCTAAAATAACATGGCTATTATAGTAATTTTTAAAAAATGGAATTATTTATCACTACGTTTCTACTCTGGCAATTTACAGACAGTGAATAGTTCAAAAATGATTAAATTATGACATATATAATGCAAGTTAATTTAAATTACTAATTAATAAAGAAACTGCTGGCATACAGACGAGTGGTATTTAAAGAGCAAAAGATCCTCATGTGGTTTGCAAGTTTGAGTAAAGGGGACTACAATCCACAGTTTGGCCATGCCTGCTATAGTACTAAAATCTGAAGGAATGCCATATCTGAATGTATTTTTAATCCACTGAAATTTATCATAATTTTGAGGAAACTACTTGTTAAAATAAATGCTGAATTGAGCTAATGATCTTTGAATTCCAGAAATGATATCTGTAATAAAATGTATTTCATTGTCTACAATAAAATGCTGCAAAACTTGGAAATAACTCATTTCTTTTACTTCAGTGATTTTTCCTTTCCCTCCCCCTACCACAAAAAAAAATTCTTTTTATATGGCAAAATTTTATCAACAAGTAGAATCAAATGAGTTTCACTTCCTAACACAGATGCACTCAAAAAGCTGAACTTTTTCAGAAGCAAATTGAACAACTTTTAATATTTTTCATCAAGATTATAACTAAACCGTTGCCTCAGTTCAAAAATAAGAAATAATATCTTTCCACTAGAAGGTACTACTAAAGAATAAAAAATCAATATGTTCAGACCATAGAATGTTTCACACTTTGAAAAATCTAAATTTCTGTGATCAAATGTTAAAAGAATAAAATAATAATAATAAAAACACCTTAATTTGCAAATCAGCACTCAAGTTATGAGCAACAAACTGTTAAATGCTTCTGTAGGTAGAACAGAACAGGTCCAAATTGCATCATGAGCTTTCTCAAAGATGAATGCTTTTAACAGCCCGACACTTAATGGCTATCAGAGCATATATAAAACGTACATTTTACATATATGTACGTAGCATTTTAAGTATATGTGCATACATAAAAATCACAGCTCTCCTATCTATTTAATTTACACCTCTTCCAGGAAGTTCAAACCCTCTTGCTTACCACCATTAATTTATTCACGATTTCAATCACAATATAGTTTCTCATTTCTACGTTGTCTTTACAGAGGGGGGGGGGATCATTCTATTTTTAAGTAAACTTTATTTGCAGAAGATTTTACAAAATCAGTGATTGAAAGAAGACAATTTAAAGTATTCCAACATTCCATTATTACAAAAACTAATAAAGCAGATTATAAATTATAAAGAAAATATATGAATAAGTGGAACATGTTTAGCAAAATTTAAAATAGTAAGTCCATTTATTTATACTACCTTAGTTTACATTCATTTTTTGCACGTTCTGTTAAATAATAAGTTCTTGATAAATATTTTCAGATTTTATAATTTTATTAACTTTCATAAATGTCAATAATAGCAACTTCTTTTCATTTCTAGTTACTTTTATATAGAACAAATATTTATTAGAATGTACCTCATACATTTGAACCAAAAGTGGCCTATGATGCTTTTGCTCCACCATCTTGTCATGCCTTTCCAACAACATATGACAATCTTTACAAATTCGAATTAAATTCTCCCCACCAGCAACAGACATCAAGCTTGCACTGCTAGGCCTACGAGGAGTAGAACTTGGCTTAGGTAATAAATGTTGGTCGTCAGATACCATAGGAAGTGTTAATTTACCTGGAATTGGAATATTGAATTAATTTAATTGGAAAGAAAATAGATGTATATAAAATTTTCCACAGCTCGCAGAAATTAACATATTTAATTCAGCAGATTCAGTTTAATTCAGTTTTGTTAAAACAGAAACAAAGAAAATACATACATAAAAGATGAGACAAACCAAATGATTTTTGTTTATTATCATTTAAAATAAAATTTATACCAAAAATAGACAGCATGTGAAGAAACTATTGTAAAGATAAGGTTTTGAATGAACAAATGCAAACTTGCTTATTCGAAAATTTAATTAACTAAATATTAATATTAAAATAACCTTAATTAACTTAAACTAAATTACTTAAGATGCCATACTGTTATAAACATAAACTTCTTGAAATCCTTATGCTCAGCTTATAGTATTTTCAATCTGATCAACTTTTTACAGCATGTAATAAATATTTGTTATTTTTTTTTTAAGATACATGCAATTAGAAACAATAAAGTGCACTGTCCTTTATCTAATATATATTTCTTCTTCTTTTTCTTTTTTTCAAATTTTTCATAACACAAAAATATTTTTCTTCAGACATACAGTGAAACCTTGGTCAGGGTTCAAAGCCACATTTTAGTTAAAAAAATAAGCACCTATAAGCACTTTTCAAGCACATTTTAAGGAAAAAATAAGCACCTGTCTAATTACATTATACACAACTGCATAACCTTTAAAGAAAAATTAGACTTGTAATTTAAAATATGAGCTATGCAATATTTATTAAGAGAATGAGCATTACCTCAACAATGGAAAACAATTAACTTTTTTTTTTTTTTAATTTTAAATGACAGTTCAATTTACAGAATTAGTTTACAATGAGAGAAAAAAAAACTATGCAATAATAAACTATATTACAAAATTTAATGATGATATTTCAGTTGAAAATATAGAAAATAAATAATAATAAGCCATTTTAATTGTATTCGTTTGGCACCTAATAATAAATACAATTTATTTTTCCACTCATAATAATATTTAAATAATTTAATTTAAATCAAAATTCTGAACATTTTCTAAATTTTCATTGCATAACAGTTTTCCCTTAACATATATCCCAAGCAAAGTAATTTAAGTAATAAAGAGGCACATTTCTGAAATCAGAAGACAGGAAATTGCTTCATTCAGTCATCCTTTAACAGTAAAAGCTTAACTAACCCGCATACTCGAAATTCCCGAATATTCCGGATAGTAACTGGAAAAAGAGGAGTGGGGGAGATTGTAGCTGTTCTTTAGATTTAAATTTAAGCTAAATAAATTATTTTGACATTTCGATATGTGCATCATATAAAAACCAACGGAACTGAGAAATATTCGGCTTAGAAAGCACAGTAAAACTCTTTTAAGTGTGCATAAACAAATCTCAGACTGAACATCAAAATTAATTATCAATGCAAAATACCGCAAACGTTATGCGCAATGCGTGCGGAGTAAGTTCTTCCATATGGGATATACGCAATCGGAATCAACACCTGCCGGTATTCGAAGAAAAAAAGAACTAAATAAAGGAAAAGAAAAGAGACTTACTAATCTGGAGTGTTTCCGATTCTAATTTTCAACACACAGCGTTAACTTTCCGGAATAGAATCAATCTTCGCTTAGGGTTGGGTAGACCGCAAAAACTTTTTAGTTCCTATTCAATCCAGATTAGGACAGTGACCAAAAAAAAAAAGTCCGCTGCTTCAATATCAGAGATTTTGCGGAGAAAGGAGAGAACCTCCTAACTCCGTACTATATAATGTATTGGCAAAGAAAATGAAATTATTTTGACTATTCGATTACTTTCCTTTTATTTAAGCCATTCCAGGGTTGCCACTCAAACAGGAGAATGAAATTCCCTGACTTTTCCAGGTTTTCCAGGTGCGTTTCAAGAAAATTCCAATCTATCCGCGTAATGTACGTTGGCTACGCTAAGAGGTAAATTATGGTATTACTTGTATTGTGTAGCAAATTCACTTAATTATTCAATAAATCCCAGAGGACATTTATTCTTAATTATTCTTGGTATACTTAGTTTGATAATTTTGTTTACTTTTCCACTTAAGAAACTTAATAAAATTTAAGATATATACATTGGATAACAAATGTATGTTTTATTTAATTATTACTCATGATCATCACCAGTTCATCACGAGGCTAATCCGGTCCTTATAAATCACAACGCAATGCTAAATAGTTAGGTTAGATTTTAGGTAAATTTAATTTGTGTGAGGTATGTTCTTAAAAAGCACCTTAACACTTGAAAACACAAAATATAATTATAATAGTTGTTGTTTTCTCCATTGAAGATTGAGATTAGAATCTTCCCAATCTGGAATAAAATAAGGCTTTTTTTGCAGACATTCTGCAGCTAAACGAAAGAAAGAAATCTATTTTAATAAATTGAGGTATTTTATATTTAGTTCGCAGCATACATAAGAAAAAAATATGTGCATTAAATTTCGTGATGGTATGTCATCATACTGCTAGAATTAATTTCAAGATTATGCCAGAGAAAATTTCCTGAAATTTAAAAATATTATTTACTAATAATTAATAAATTTAGAGGGAAGAAGCATCATTAAATTATACGAATAACATAAAAATAAAGATAATTAAAAATCTTAAAAATCAATTTTCAGAATTTAATGAAATTAATCAACCTAGAATTGATTTTATTTTTTTACTTTACTGCAAAATGGTTTAAAAAAGAAAAGGTTTAAAAGTTTTGTATACGGTAAGGCTTTGGGCACGATTTTGAAAATTGTCGCCAAGACCAAAATGATCCGTTTACTGCGCATCATCATGTCGCCAAATCCATACATGGAGATTATTTTAACCAAAAAACGTCTAAAAAAAAGCAAAGAATCTCTAATTCTTTGGTCTATGTAAAGAAGAAAATTTTCCATACAAGTAAAATGCTATTACGCCGCTAGAATGCGGAGGGAAAATTTGCCAAGGGATTTGGCGACGGAACCTGGCGGCCAGAATTTCCCTCTCCGCGATGTGTACCGGAAATTGAGAAACGTGTTAAGAAGAAACGTTCTTTGACAAAAAGAAAGCTATGAATATCCGTTTTTAAATTATTGCGAAAAATCCAAGAAGAAACGTTTTATCAAAGGACGTTTCTTCTTGGATTTTTCGCAATAATTTTAAAAACGGATTTTCGTAGTTCCCCCCCCCTGAAAATTACTAACCCATGAATTAATTTACTTGCGCCAAAAAATATTTTCTTTTAATTTAGAGTTTAACTACTTGCGCTAAGACTAAACTTCACGGTTGCGGTGCCGTGCGCTACAATATAGCAAGTGGTAAAGTGTCTCATTTACGCCGCTCCGCATCTGCGAGTGCAATCCAGAGCTGTAACTCGAGAAATAAACAATCTCGTTGTTAGGCGACGTGTGCACCATGTTATTTTCATTTTTGCGATAAATGCTTATCGACGTGGTGTTCACGTCGCTCGCAGTTTGAGACAAAAACATCTCGACGTGCGTGGCACGTCTTTTTAGCGCAAGTGGTTAAAGAAATTTTAAAGGATATTCATTTAATGAACTCTTGATAACGTGACCTTCGAACTTCGACACCGGTTTCCAGCTTTGGCGGCAGATATATCACGCATGCACAGCTGTTTCCCTCTATGATGGAACGGAGCCACGTCTGTTGCAGAGAGGTTTTCCTTCTTTACAATACATATTCTTTGATTCTAACCTCCATGGTACCGTATACTAAGATTAAACCCATTTTGTTTTATACGAGAACAGGTACTTTCTTTAGTTCATGCACTGCACATGCGATTCTCGAAAATACTGGAAACCAAAAGTTGCGGGAAACTTGCTTTGCCTTTCTAAAAGGCAATCAAATTGGAGCTGCGAAAATTGGCTCTATGCCAGCAGACACTCACGTGATAGGCAATTCACCAAAAAAGTTATCTCTTCCGACGTCGGCGCAAAAATCGCTTTTTTTGGCGGGATCATTGTATGAACTTCCCTGACTTTTCCAGATTCTTGAAATCCTTATGCTCAGCTTATAGTATTTTCAATCTGATCAACTTTTTACAGCATGTAATAAATATTTGTTATTTTTTTTTTAAGATACATGCAATTAGAAACAATAAAGTGCACTGTCCTTTATCTAATATATATTTCTTCTTCTTTTTCTTTTTTTCAAATTTTTCATAACACAAAAATATTTTCTTCAGACATACAGTGAAACCTTGGTCAGGGTTCAAAGCCACATTTTAGTTAAAAAAATAAGCACCTATAAGCACTTTTCAAGCACATTTTAAGGAAAAAATAAGCACCTGTCTAATTACATTATACACAACTGCATAACCTTTAAAGAAAAAAATAGACTTGTAATTTAAAATATGAGATATGCATATTTATTAAGAGAATGAGCATTACCTCAACAATGGAAAAACAATAACTTTTTTTTTTTTTTAATTTTAAATGACAGTTCAATTTACAGAATAGTTTACAATGAGAGAAAAAAAAAAACTATGCAATAATAAACTATATTACAAAATTTAATGATGATATTTCAGTTGAAAAATATAGAAAATAAATAATAATAAGCCATTTAATTGTATTCGTTGGCACCTAATAATAAATACAATTTATTTTTCCACTCATAATAATATTTAATAATTTAATTTAAATCAAAATTCTGAACATTTTAAATTTCATTGCATATAACAGTTTTCCCTTAACATATATCCCAAGCAAAGTAATTAAGTAATAAAGAGGCACATTTCTGAAATCAGAAGACAGGAAAATTGCTTCATTCAGTCATCCTTTAACAGTAAAAGCTTAACTAACCCGCATACTCGAAATTCCCGAATATTCCGGATAGTAACTGGAAAAAGAGGAGTGGGGGAGATTAGCTGTTCTTTAGATTTAAATTTAAGCTAAATAAATTATTTGACATTTCGATATGTGCATCATATAAAACAACGGAACTGAAAATATTCGGCTTAGAAAGCACAGTAAAACTCTTTTAAGTGTGCATAAACAAATCTCAGACTGAACATCAAAATTAATTATCAATGCAAAATACCGCAAACGTTATTGCGCAATGCGTGCGGCGTAATTCTTCCATATGGGATATTTACGCAATCGGAATCAACACTGCCGGTATTCGAAGAAAAAAAAAGAACTAAATAAGGAAAGAAAGAGACTTACTAATCTGGGGTGTTTCTGATTCTAATTTTCAACACACTGTATTAAATTTCCGAAATAGAATCAATCTTCGCTTGGGTTGGGTAGACCGCAAAAACTTTTAGTCCTATTCAATCCAGATTGGACAGTGACCAAAAAGGTCCGCTGCTTCAATATCAGAGATTTTGCGGGAAGAAACTCCCACCTCCGTACTGTATAATGTATTGGCAAAGAAAATGAATTATTTTGACTATTCGATTACTTTCTTTATTTAAGCCATTCCGGGTTGCACTCAAACAGGAGAATGAAATTCCCTGACTTTTCCAGGTTTTCCAGGTGCGTTTTCAAGAAAATTCCAGTCTATCCGCGTAATGTACGTTGGCTACGCTAAGAGGTAAATTATGGTATTACTTGTATTGTGTAGCAAATTCACTTAATTATTCAATAAATCCCAGAGGACATTTATTCTTAATTATTCTTGGTATACTTCGTTTGATAATTTTGTTTACTTTTCCACTTAAGAAACTTAATAAAATTTAAGATATATACATTGGATAACAAATGTATGTTTTATTTAATTATTACTCATGATCATCACCAGTTCAATCACGAGGCTAATCCGGTCCTTATAAATCACAACGCAATGCTAAATAGTTAGGTTAGATTTTAGGTAAATTTAATTTGTGTGAGGTATGTTCTTAAAAAAGCACCTTAACACTTGAAAACACAAATATAATTATAATAGTTGTTGTTTTCTCCATTGAAGATTGAGATTAGAATCTTCCCAATCTGGAATAAAATAAGGCTTTTTTTGCAGACATTCTGCAGCTAAACGAAAGAAAGAAATCTATTTTAATAAATTGAGGTATTTTATATTTAGTTCGCAGCATACATAAGAAAAAAATATGTGCATTAAATTTCGTGATGGTATGTCATCATACTGCTAGAATTAATTTCAAGATTATGCCAGAGAAAATTTCCTGAAATTTAAAATATTATTTACTAATAATAATAAATTTAGAGGGAAGAAGCATCATTAAATTATACGAATAACATAAAAATAAAGATAATTACTTAAAAATTGAATTAGAATAATCAACGATATTTTGCGGTAAAATTCTAGTATACGGTAAGGCTTTGGCACGATTTTGAAAATTGTCGCCAAGACCAAAATGATCCGTTTACTGCGCATCATCATGTCGCCAAATCCATACATGGAGATTATTTTAACCAAAAAACGTCTAAAAAAAGCAAAGAATCTCTAATTCTTTGGTCTATGTAAAGAAGAAAATTTTCCATACAAGTAAAATGCTATTACGCCGCTAGAATGCGGAGGGAAAATTTGCCAAGGGATTTGGCGACGGAACCTGGCGGCCAGAATTTCCCTCTCCGCGATGTGTACCGGAAATTGAGAAACGTGTTAAGAAGAAACGTTCTTTGACAAAAAGAAAGCTACGAAAATCCGTTTTTAAATTATTGCGAAATCCAAGAAGAAACGTTTTATCAAAGGACGTTTCTTCTTGGATTTTTCGCAATAATTTTAAAAACGGATTTTCGTAGTTCCCCCCCCTGAAAATTACTAACCTATGAATTAATTTACTTGCGCCAAAAAATATTTTCTTTTAATTTAGAGTTTAACTACTTGCGCTAAGACTAAACTTCACGGTTGCGGTGCCGTGCGCTACAATATAGCAAGTGGTAAAGTGTCTCATTTACGCCGCTCCGCATCTGCGAGTGCAATCCAGAGCTGTAACTCGAGAAATAAACAATCTCGTTGTTAGGCGACGTGTGCACCATGTTATTTTCATTTTTGCGATAAATGCTTATCGACGTGGTGTTCACGTCGCTCGCAGTTTGAGACAAAAACATCTCGACGTGCGTGGCACGTCTTTTTAGCGCAAGTGGTTAAAGAAATTTTAAAGGATATTCATTTAATGAACTCTTGATAACGTGACCTTCGAACTTCGACACCGGTTTCCAGCTTTGGCGGCAGATATATCACGCATGCACAGCTGTTTCCCTCTATGATGGAACGGAGCCACGTCTGTTGCAGAGAGGTTTTCCTTCTTTACAATACATATTCTTTGATTCTAACCTCCATGGTACCGTATACTAAGATTAAACCCATTTGTTTTATACGAGAACAGGTACTTTCTTTAGTTCATGCACTGCACATGCGATTCTCGAGAATACTGGAAACCAAAAGTTGCGGAAAACTTGCTTTGCCTTTCTAAAAGGCAATCAAATTGGAGCTGCGAAAATTGGCTCTATGCCAGCAGACACTCACGTGATAGGCAATTCGCCAAAAAAGTTATCTCTTCCGACGTCGGCGCAAAAATCGCTTTTTTTGGCGGGATCATTGTATGAACTTCCCTGACTTTTCCAGATTTTGACAAAAATACTTAAATTCCCTGACTTTTCCCTGAATTTTTTGGTCAATTTTCGAATTCCCTGACTTTTCCCGGTTCCAGGTAGCGTGGCAACCATATTCCGAAATTTTCCAGAAAGCTATCTGGTAAAAACAAATATTATCTAACTTCAGCAGTACTGCAACTATACAATATTTTACATTACCATAATAAGCAAACGATCATAAAAACAGAATAGAAGACCAAGCAGAACGAGGCATTAAAAATCTTGATAGAAATTAGTATTTGGGTGGGAGGAATTCTCGCGCGCACCATAGGTTACGTAATGCAGAGAAAGGGGGGGAAAAAGCGATTCCGGGAGTATGATTCACATCTGACGTTGCATATAAGAAAGAAAAGTTGTTATTTAGTTTCGGCTTTGGTACGGGGGAAAAATGCGGTTCATTAAAACAAAGATTAAAAAAAAAGCACTAAAAGCAAAAATAAGCACTAAAAACAAAAAATAAGGGCTTTAAGAAAAAGTAAGCACCTATAAGGGATTTTCAAATATAAGGACTTATAAGCACTTGTAAGGACCGCTATGAACCCTGTTGGTTCATGAATTTAGTTTGCTTCTGAATGCTATTCATCACACAAAATGTTTATAAACTGAAATAGTTTTTTCCATAGGAATTAATGTAACATGGATTAATTTGTCTTGGACCACTATTTAAATTTTATGATACAGCACCTTGTGCACAATTTTAGAACCCAAAACCAATGGAAATCAGCAAATATAACAAAAAATATAAACACAATATTAAAAAGATAAAATAGACAATAATTTAATTTTATTTTATAGTACCAGTATAGTAGGGACAAAAAAAACTAAACTCAGTGCATAACAGCCTCAGTGAGCCAATGCCTGCAGTGCCCCGAAATCTGCTTTCTTGACTGTGGGCCCCAGGGTGCGTAAGCATATGTCCTGAAAAAATGGTCGGCTTGTCGCAGGACCCCCAGTGTTTAGTCCCCAAGCAAACTTGGTACTCATTTTATCAACCCAAAGGATGGAAATCAAAGGATGAAAGGCTGACCTTGCCCAGAAAAGCCCCTGGGATAGAACCACAGACCTGTGGTGCTGCTGCACAATGCAGTAACCACTGCACCACCGGGTCTATGAAAGTGAGTAGATTAAGAGGAAAATGATGATGTTATTGCTTGGACATGAAATTCCCTTCCATTAAAACATTGAGTAACTGCCTTTAGAGACACATTCTTTTATCTTTTCCTTGTCTCTAAGCTCCATTCTGATTGAGACTCATTGGGTCTCAGTTTCACTTAAAAATAGTGCAAAGCTTTAAAATCTTTCTAAAGTGAGACATGGCACTGTCATTGAAACTGCTTATGCTGTAGTTTGTGACTGCTTTATCAGAGTGGTATAAATGCATGAAAACTATACATCTTATTGAATTTTGCATAAATTTTGTTAATCAGAGAACTAAAATAATTTTTTCTTCTTTTGTTCTAAAGACATTTCTTTCAGTCGCTTTTTGTTACTACTTTTGAAGTTGTTGTAATTCTTTCTTGTTAAGCTTCTTTTTATAACCTCTAATAACTTCTTCACATCTTTATTGTTAACTTCTTAAGCTACGACTTTGCTTAAAGACACAGTATCATATGTAATAAAAAGAATCATAAGCATAAAAGTACTCAAAGTCTCTGCAAGCCAATCTGGCTGTAATTTATTCCCAGAAAATTCATGGTTAAATCATTTGCTGCCAGGCTTTGTTAATGAAAGTTAAGCAATGCAAAATATTAAAATGATATTTCCAGAAATCCCTGAATAAGTGTACAAAGTTACCTCAGAACACTTTTGAAAATCATACGTTGCCCAATGCTCGTAATTCGACACCATATGTGACCCAAGATTCCACTATATATTAATACATGGCACCTATGTATTAGCAGTTCTCTCATATTCTAAGTAATTTGACTAATTTCTTAAGTCTTTCTTAAAAAAAGATGGAGGATCTTTTATTTTTTTAAAATATTTCATTAATAAACATGTACAAAAACATGGTAACACTAGAAAACTTCAATAAATGAAAACATACGAGCAAACTCGTAAGTTAAGAAATATGAGCACGAGTGACACATTACACCTCCACATAAGCGACAATGATGCCTGCGACGAGACAAACCAAATGATTTTCCACATCCTGGACAAAGAGGTACATCAGCATCAGGAACCCATGGAACAATACTCTTTTCAAATTCTATGAAAATTAAAAATCATTGATTATGTAAGCTTTCAGTATTATGATTTATTACAAAGATCTATAAGCAAATTTTTATTACTGACAGTATTAAACTTTTGCAATTTTAGATACTTCAAATAACATTTAATGCAACATAATATCATAAATGTTTAAATTGAAAACATTTATGATATCATTACTATATGGATACAAACATATTATATTACAGCAAAATAATGGAAGATTTTGAAATATAAAAATATTTCTCTCATCAATGCTCCAAAAATTTTCAAATAAATTAAAAAAATTTTTTTTTCTTCAACTACCCAAATAAACTACCTCTGTATTCTTAATGAAAAATCTGCATTAGAAATACCATTAACAAAAAACTATCACAAAAATGAAATATGTATTTCTTTAACTATATTTAAATATGTGATAATATTTAATCTTACCTTTCCGTTTTTCAGGATCATCAGTTATATCACAGATGAGTTTATCTAAGCGTATTAATAGTTTATTTGTTTCAAGAACATATCTGTCCATTTTCTTGTCACGTAATTTTTTAAAATACCAAGTATGGCTTGTTGTCAAACCTAAGAAAGAAGGAAACTTGTCAGTATTTAACAAAAATTCAGAATGAACAAAAGATACTATTTGATAACAATGATGAATAAAAGGAGCTTCAACAGAAAACATTATGTTTAATTAATAAAAAGCACTTAAAATTTTAGGCTATATACCGTCTTTCTCCAAAAATAAGACACTGTCTTACTTTCTTTTTTGGTCCAAAATATGCGCTAGGGCTTATTTTTGGGGAAGGGCAAAAATAAAAGTATATTTATATATTTTTATTTAATATTTATTTTACACAGAATACAGAAATTTAAATTTATTCAATTACAGTCATGTCATCTTCTTCTGGAACATCGTCATAAATAAAATTCTGATTTTCTTCCAAATCCATTTCCTGTTGAATCATTGGTCCGAATCTCTCATGTCTTGCGATATAGCTATCGTTAAATGAATACTTCTTGTCTAAGTAGCCTGTTCGTAGTGCATTGGAAACATCACTATCAGTTATTTTGTCCCATGAATTTTTTACCCAATTCACAACTTCTTGTAAGCCTGGTTTTACAAAATTACCTCGATGATTTCTCACCATTCTGTTTTTTTAAATTTCATATTTCATTGATTTCCATCTGCAAATGATCCTTGAATGGCTTGTTTATTGCAATGTCAAGTGTCTGGAGGTAACCAGCCATTCCTGCCGGAATCATTATTTGATCAATCTTCCTCTCAGCAAGAAAGTTTTTCATGTCTTTAGTGCGGTGAGTATTGGCTGAATCCCAAACTAGTAAACCTCTATTCTAATCCCTCAACAGTGGTGGCAGCATAAAATCAACCCACTTTCTTATAACTGCTTGGGTGCACCAGGCTTTTTCACTTTCAATGACATAAATTCCTGAAACACGTTGAATCTGGTCTTTTTTTACCTTTAGTGATTAAAAATGGCGATACTTTCTTGCCATCTAGACGAATCGCCAAAATACAGGTAACACGTGCACTATCGTAACCGGTAGAAGGAACGTAAATTGACGAAGAAGCCTTGTGGTGAACTGTCGTTTGAGCTCCTTGGCCTAGGAAATACCGCGGTCTCATCCATAGCAATCATGTTGGAGAGTTGGTATTTTCGAAAAAATCGATGCCATCAACAAAAAGCTTAAACGCAAGTGCACGCTTAACAACTTCATTGTCTTCCAGCTTAAACAATGTTGTTGATCTCCTTAGAGACAGTTCATATCGTTTAAGGAAGTTGTCCAACCAGTGTGACAATGCTTTAAATTCTTTATTCTCTGTGGATATATCAAATTCAATTGCTGTTTCAAGGGCAAATTTTTTAATATCAGCCCTGCACACAACCAAAGCCATTGCTCTCCTGCCTGCCTGCAATCCATTCCCAGATGCAATCTTCCAACTCAGAAAATAACGGCTGCCGACCTGATCCAACTCTGCATTTTTTCTCATTTCCTTGGTCCACCAGTTGACACAGGTAATCATAGTCTGCACGCCATTTACGAAACATATGGAGATCTAGCATCTTCTCTTTACAGAATGCTACAAGATTTACACCCCTGGAGTCTTCCATGATTCCCTTTTTGTACTCGACAGAATAGCTCTTTCGTTTTGTACTCATTTTAACTGGGGTTAAAAATTATTCACTTTATTTTTAAATAAAATTACGTATGAGGAAATAATCAGACTTACAAAACTGAAGTGAATGAACGTTGTATACCTGCACTGTCGTTCAATGTAGACTGCTACCTTATGTTGTATTTTTAACCAGTTCGCTGTTAGGAAAATCGCAAACATTTCGTGCCATTTTTTGCATCCAAAGGTAAACTTTTTGTGTCTAAAACTGGGCTCAGAGTATTTCTTTCCCCCTTTCACCACCTGTGAAAGCCTATTTAGAAGTTCTGTTCAAATCAGATTGAACAGCGTACCTGTCACACTGAAGGATGGTGAATAACGACCCCCTAAGGGGCAACATAAAACACAAAGACTGGTGTAGTCCTTAGAGCAGATATTTTTCCCTTTGCACCCAACCCCACTTCCACTTCCTGCACCCAACCCCAAATCTATTGCAATCTATTACAATGTAAATGTAATTTTTAATTGTCAAGAAAAAGCTTTATATAAAGTAAAAATAAGGGCATTAGCTAGTATTTGAAATGTCCTTGAATTTTGTTTTATTATTTTCTTGATGGCCTGTAACAAAAGAGAAGAATTGAATCGTTAAGAATTGAAAAGATAGCATTCAAATCCCTTTGTTCGTTAATAGAAAGGGAGAAAGCTGTTGTGGATCTCATAAGATATGTTGAGGGGGTAGCTATTCGAAGAAAGTGTCCCCATCCTTTACTTTCCTGAAACAGCCCCGCTGTGATCCTAATGCGACACCGCTGAGAAGATAAGTAACCCATCAATCACCCCTTTTGATTTTCGACTCATTCTGTGGGGGTTGGAAAAAGGTCGCTGCGTCGTATGTGTCTCGGGGGTTACGGTTCAGCCCAAATTTCACCCCGACGAGAGTCTGCCGACGCTAACGGATGACGATGCCTTTCCTGTGAACGTATCTCTCTCGGGGCAAACAGTGAACTGGTTAAGATAAATTCCAAGAATTAATTTGAAAGGAACTGTAGAGGTAAACAATTAATTTCTCGGAATATTTTGTTTCAAACATTTCTCTGAAATACGAGTATTAGGAAAGCTAAACATATTATTACTTAATAAATCAACAGCATTTTTTAACGAATTCTTTTTGTCACATTATTTTAACTAGGAATTATTTTCGAGGGATGTCTTATTTTACAAAAAGTTCCGAAAATCACGATAGGGCTTATTTCCGGAGGATGTCTTATTTCACAAAAAGTTCCGAAAATCACGATAGGGCTTATTTTCGAATTATGTCTTATTTTCAGAAAAAGACGGTATATATACATAATATCTTATTCTATTAGCTGAAATATATCACTACTATTTAAGTCTAGCGATCAAGAAGTTAAATCATCTAGAAAATATTCCCCTCATCTTCATTAACAAAGTTCATCCTAGATTAAATAAATAAATAAAAACAAAAAGGAAGAAGATTAATTGATGCAAAGTCCGGGGAATACAGACTCAGTCACAACTTATTATTTTCCCCCCTTTTTCATTATTTATTTTTAATAATGCTCTATTGGGGCCTAATATTATGAATTAATATGTCAACATTCTCTCAAAAAGTCAAAATCAGGAATTAACATTCTTAGGTCCCATTTATGGAATACTCTTGAGATTTAATGGAAAGTGTTTCTTAATATAACAAAGTTCTAGCACAAGCTACGGCAATATCACAGATGAATTAGTCAATATAATTTTTTTTTTCTCTTTCCTGTCTCTGTAAAACAACATGTAGACCTTACAGCTAATGATGCACTGCATTAGCATTAAGAATATGTTTCATTGATGACAGTTCACTGTGTATCAGACTGAAATAATTCAACTAATAATAATGTAATCCAGACTCATTGGGACTTCAGCAATTCCGGATTATCGGTTTTTCCCAATTATAGATCATCAGTTTAAATCTGGTAAGATGGCATGCAGAAATTTAAAATAAAATAAACCATAATTTATGAAATAAAGAGCAATTATGATAAAAGGGTATCAAAATTACAAAAAAAAACAAAAGCTTAATATTTATTTGTTTCTTTATTAAACATTTCATTCAATGTAAGTTTTTTTAAGTTGCTTCGTTTTTGTCCTAATACTTTCTCTTTAATTCTATAAACAACTAATTTCTTATTCAATTACAAATTCCGCTGTTCAAGTCCTGTATGCTGTGCAGAAAACCGACTAAATTCAATAGAATTTTTTGTTTTCACAACCTCTCTCACTTCTTCATGCCTTTTATCATTTTTTGCAGCAATTCCACTTTTGTTTGATGGACATCGAAACATGCTTTCCGCTTGTAGATCCTTTGGCAGCTCCGAATCGGAAATTCTATTTGACATATGAAAGTTCAAGCTTAGTTTTATAAACTTGCGAACAGTCTGCAAAAATAATAGCCAGATCCATTCAAAGTTAAGGAATAACGCATCTGCACATACTGAACTAGATAATTAGATAGTTTTAGCTTAGTTATACCCGTCCATTATACATTAACCGCGCATGCGTATATGTATATGTCTGCTAAAGTATTATGCCACTGTAAATGCCATGCGTGTACTGCCAAAGTTGACTTGAGTCCGGATTATAGATCATTCTGAATTATGGACGTCCGGATTAAAGACTTTTAACTGTACACAACTCATCATCAATTTTCTTTTGCACAGATTGTTACTGAGATTGTCTTCTTCCTTCTTGATTCAACAGCTTTTGCATGTAACATTAACATAAATCACTCACTTCTCATAACCATTATAAGCTGAGACAAGTCATCTTATTTTTTTAATGGATGCAGGTCACCAGTTATATAAAGTTAGATTTGGTCAGATAAGATATAAGACAGAAATGCCTTAACTGCTGTAATACTCTGTCCAATTTAATCTTTAAAGCATGCATTAAAGCTTCATTACTTAAATTATTGCATTTCCCATTTATGAATATGTAAAAGATTCTGAGCATTTACTTTGAAAATTCGAACTAATTAGAGCTTGCAATCTGTCCTATGACATAATCATTAAATGCCATCTCTCATTTTACACATGCTTTGTATGTTTTCATCTTGCTCTAATATTCATACTATAATACAGAATGCACATCTTTGATTACTCTACTATATCTTTAACTGCAACAATGCAATTATTAAAGCCTAAATCCCATTTCTTGTGCACACTAATTTAAGACATTTACAAACTCAGATGCTCACTGTGCTCCATAATCAAATATTTCAAATTATAATTTTTTGAAATCTTCTTTCATAACCTAAAAACACAAGTTTTTAGTTGCAAAGCTTCTTATATATTTTTCTAAAGTTATACTGTATTTGTTCGGATTTCATCATCTTTAAAACAAAATTACACATGAGCATGCTGAAATTTCTAATCAAAAATTA